AGTCAGGGATTTTGGGTTCTATCCCTGGTTGGGGCATGTATGGGAGGCAACTAGTTGATGTTTCTTTCTCCCAAGTCAGTAAAACATATCCTCGGGTGAGGATTAAAAGAAAAAAGAATGTAAATAATAGCCTGCTAATATAAGTTACTTCTATAAATTCTTTTTTTTTCTTTTATACATTCTTTTAAATAATTTCAAAAAGAAACCCTTTACCTGAATTAACCTATTAACATTTTGTTTGTTTTATCATTTGTCACCCCTCCCCAATGTATGTGTGTATATAAGTTGTGTACATGATGGCTCATTATTCCTAAATTTTAGTATGTATTTCCTAAGAATAGGGATATTCTCTTCCAGAATCACAGTAAACTTATTATTTTAGTAAATTTAACATTGTTACATTTACTTTTAAAAAAAATCATTTTATGTTTTCCATTACATTTGAAATAGATCATTATATTAACTTCAGGTATATACTCCACTGACCAGATATTACATAACTCAATGAGAGTTACGATTTTCATGCTCTGGGGTGGGAGTCCCTTCACCTGGCCTGTGCCCTCTCATAGTATAGGACCTTTCAGGGGATGTCCAACTGCCAGCTTAGGCCTGATTCTGGGGATTGGGCCTAGACATCCCTTTTGCATTCTGGAACTCCTTGCTCCTTACGGCCCTGCCTGCTCGAGGCTCCTTATTGCTCAGTTCAGCTTGCTGCTCCTGCCATCACCACTGCACTTATCAGGGGGCAGCTCCTGCATTGAGCATCTGCCCCCTGGTGGTCAGTGCACATCAGAGTGGTCGTTTAGCCTAAGGGTAGCTTAGGCTTTTATTATATAGATAATTGACCACCCCAATGAATCTGGCACCCATCCTTCAACATGCCTAGTTATTAGAATATTTTATTAACTATGTTCTCTGTGCTTTACATCCCCATAACTATTTCTGTAACAACCAATTGGTGGTTCTTAATATTGTCACTTTTTTTCCTGCTACATTTACTTTTATCTCATCTGTCCATGGTCCCATTATGTCATTTGACCCAAAAATGACCTTTTTAGCATTTTTCTTTCTCCAATACAAGATCAGCCTAAGGTCAGATTCTATAGTCATTTAATCTGGAGCATCCCCACAGATGCCCTCCATTCTTTTTGTCTTTCACTTGCATTATTTATAGCCCATTTAAAAAAAAAGTTTAAGCGAATTTAATCTTTCCTTTTGTTTACATCTTAGTGTGAGCAGAGAATGATTCCTTTTTCTTCTCTCTTTTTAAAAATATATTGATTTCAGGGAGGAAGAAAGAGGAGAGATAAACATCAGTAATGAGAGAGAATCATTGGTCAGTTGCTTCCTGCATGCCCCCACACTGGGGATTGAGCTTGCAACCTGAGAATGAGCCCACAACCCGGGCATGTGCCCTGAGTGGAATCGAACTCGGGACCCTTCATTCCACAGGCTGATGCTCTATCCTCTGAGCCAAACCAGCTAGGGCCCTTTCTCTTCTCTTAATATGGTATATTACATGAATTGATTTCTGAGTGTTAAGTCAACTTTGCTTTCCTGTGCTAGATTACATTTTGTTATGGTGTATAATCTTTTTTTATGTTGGGAAATTCAGTTTGTTAGTATTTTGTTGGGGCTCTGTATATTTAGAAGAGATACTGAGCTATATAGTTTTCTAGTGATGTTGTTTTTGTTTGGTTTTGGTAACAGGATAAGTAACTAGCCTCATAAAATGAGTTGAGAAGTGCTCCTCATCTTCACTTTTGGAAGAGTTTGTGAAGAATTTGTATTAATTTTTCTGTTAATGTTTGGTGAAGCCATTTGGGTATAGACTTTTCTTTGACGATAATTAATTTGTTTTCTAATTCAGTTTCTTGTTCTATGGCTATTCAGCTTTTCTGTTTCTTCATAAATCAGTTTTGACAGTTTGTGTTTCTAGGTATTTGTCTTCATCTAAATTGTTTGATTTATTTGTATGTAGTTTATAAAATTCCTTTATAATCCTTTCTGTAATGTAGGTAGTAATATATCCCCACTTTATTCCTGATTTTAGTACTTCATCCTTTGTTTTTCCTTGGCCAGTGTAGTAGAGGTTTGCCAGTATAACAAACAACTTTTTGGGGAGGAGGATGCCAATTTTGATAATCTTTTCAAAGAACCAACTTTGGTTTCATTGACTTTTCTATTCTCTACTTTATTCATTTCCACTTTGATATTTGTTTTTCTGGCTTGCTTTTAGATACAGTTAATCTACTTTTTCCAGTGTCTTAATGTATTGATTTGAGATTTTTTAAAATATAGGCATCTACAGGTATTACTTTGTCTGTAAGCACTGCTTTCATTGCATCCCATAAGTTTTGATATTTAGGTAGTCTTTTTCATTCATCTCAAAGTATTTTATAATTTCCTTTGTGATTTCTGCTTTGACCCAGAATTCTTTGTTTTAAAAAAGTTGATAAAAGCATCTAAATAATGGATGTCTTACTGAGGACCTTAATTGGTAGGAGATTGAAGAATATGAATTTCTTGAACCTGACCGTATTTTTCTTGATGTTCCCTTTACGTTTTCCCTAAAAATAATCTTCAAAGAAAGCATTGTAGGGGGAAAGTAATCACCAGGGGCAGCCAGCCATTGGAGTACGTTGAGTAGGTTGGCTAAAACTAATGGAATGAGATAAATAGTCAAGTAAAATCTTGAAGTTGTGTGATTCTTTTTTTAATTTTTTTTTTACATTGTTTTTAGAGAGAGGAAGGAGGAGGGAGAGAGAGAAACATTGATCAGCTCCCCTCTTCTGCTAGGGATTGAAAGAGGAAACCCAGACATATGGATTGGTAATGGAACCAATGATCTCGTGGTTCATGGGACATCACTCAATCCATTGAGCCACGTTGGCTAAACTAGTAAACTTGAAGTTTTGAAAAATGTTAATTACAGACTAAAATTAAGTTTACAAGAACTTATAATCTGTGAAGTTCAATGTCCATCCAATATAGGTGTTTTTTCTAAATATCTTTTGACAGGGGTCATCTAGTTTATACTTTATTTCTAAGGTTACCATTTATGTCTGCATTAAATGAAATTATAGCGAGTCTATTCAATGTATCCCCTTGTCCCCTCAAAAGGCACCAAATTCCCACACACAATTGGATGGGGCAGGTGAAGGGGATGTACTTAAGAGCTGTAATTGACCATAAATTATACTTAAGTAGCGTGTTGTGGCCTCTAAAAAATAGCTAATCTTAGATTGCATATGTGCAGTTAAACTGGTGCTAATTTAGAAGAGCAAACATCTTGTCATCTGAGGAACTCTTGAACAGTTTTTCAGATATGGAAAAGATGAATTAGTGATATCATTAGCAGCCTTCAAACATTTGAAGACTTGGCTTGCTAAAGAGAGATTAAACTTGGGTTTGTTTTGCTTTGTTTTTAGTCCCAAAGGTTGAAAGGAACCTTTGGTTGAGTCCCTATTTCATCAAGATACTGTGCTGTGGGCACAGTGGGTTAATTAAAAAAAAAAAAAATGATATTAGTCGGTGTGATCATAAAGGAATTTATAATTTAGTATGGGAGAGAGTAGGAAGCTGCTTTCTCCCATACTAAATTATAATTTTAGAAAACAAGCAAACCCTGAAGCACATACAGAATACAGGTACATAGTTGAGGAGCTGAAATAGTTATAGGAGGTTTATAATAAAAAACAGCATTTCCCTTCTGCAGGGCTCCTCACACTTTTCTCTAAAGGTTAATTGTTATCAGCTCTTACCTGTTTAGCTTGTTATTTAAGATCATATTTTCAAATAGCCTTACTGCTATTTTTTATATTTTAGATTAGTATAAAGATCTAGCTCTCACTCTGTCTTTCAACATCCATTATCCTCCCAACATATAGTTTTAACAACATTTGTTGAAATCCCGTTTAGTGTTTTCATTATTATTGCTGTGTTAATAATGTGGTATATAATTATATTTACCTTCTTACATAACCTTTTATTTTTCTGAAGTTACCTTTTCAGTTGTTAGCTTTTCATCACATCTGTCTTCAGCAATTCTCAATTCAGTTTTCTACACACAGTTGTAACTCTCAAAACTATAGTTTCCCCTTTAAAATTTTATTTTTTCAGAAATTTCTCTTGGACTCTCAGTTGCCCTACACTGATCTAAACTGTGGCTCTTTAAACTTGCTGCTCGATTTAGAGTGCCAGTCATCTTACTATTGAGTTTACTGATCAACCCTGCCCAATAAAACATACTGCATTGATACAAATGTTCCTTTTTTGTATTGTCTAATGCCATATCTGCTAGTCACTTGTAGATTCTGAGCACTTGAAATGGGTCTAGTGTGACTGAGGAGTTTATTTTAACTTTATTCAATTCTAATTTAAATATTCACATATGAGGCTGGTGGACACTGTATTGGAAGCTCATTTCAAGATTTTTCATAATGCCTTTTCTTTATGCTATTTGTGTTTTTGAACCATGAGAATTAATGAAAAAAAAATCAAATAAAAAATTTAAAATTTAAAAGTTCACACTTAAGTGATGGTTTCATACTGATTAAGTGGCAGTGGGTTGGATTTAATGTAATTGATGTAACTTTTTTAAGAGGAATATTTGGGACTACTACTTCTAAGAATTCCTAGAATAAAAAATTCATGACTTAAAATTCTTTGTCACAGTTTGACACAGTAATAATATAGTTTGATCAAAGTTCAAGGGTTCTATCAATCATAAAGCCATGTTTTCTCTTTATAACTGAGTTTCCAATTTAAGTTGAGAATGTAGTAGATAACTATTATTGTAAATTTTAATACATATTTTAAAGAGCTATAAAATCCTATACTGCCTAATAATCTTATTTTGTTTTATGAATTGTTTAATAAGAGCCAACATATTTATGCAGTGCTGTACTTATTCTATAATTACATAAAGAGCATTGTCTTATATTTGATTTTATAGGTAGCTACATCAAGCTGGGAGCCAGGCAGAACCAAAGGATATCATGAAGTTTCCAGGGCCTTTGGAAAATCAGAGATTGTCTTTCCTTTTGGAAAAGGCAATCTCTAGGGAAGGTCAGATGTGGAAGGTAAATGTGCCGAAAATGCCTACAAACCAGGTACTGATATTTCTCTTTAAATAAATTACTTTTATTAGAAATAAGTGTACTGCTGTCCTATATAAATCTTGACATGCACTGCAGAATTATGTACACTTAAAGGAAATGCTCTATTCTTTATTTTAGAAATATCTCCTTGTTTTATTCTAAAACAAAACAAGAATGAACTGTTTTTGTTTGCCTGTTTTATTTTTATTTGAATTACAGCTTTAGGAAGATAGGTATGTCTGTTTTCTTTCCTCAGTCTGTGCCGAGCCAGCACAGCCAAGGGTTTGGTGAGCCTGAGTGAAGGCGGTGAAGGATTGAAGAAAAGACAGACAAGAGAATATAGTATAGCTGAGACTCTAAGGCCACAGAGAGAGATCCAGAGGGCAAGCTGAGCCTTTATTTTATAGCCAGAGGTAAACAAGGTAGTGGTCACCATAGTTAAAATGTTCTTAAGAGTTTCATTGCACCTCCCACAGCCCATTAGCTACCAGATAGGATCTAGGGGACTTCATAAGGTCAAGCTTAATTATGCCAAGAGGACTGTGTCAACAGCCCTAAGTTTGTGGCTTTGCCAACAGGTTAGCTGAGGCTTACCCATATAGCCACTCCTTCCAATAGTCAATACGTACAGTAGTAAGCTGCCTTTATTTCTACATAAATAGCCATGGAAGCTGAGTATATATCATTGTCTTTAGGGAACAAAACAACAAAACAAAAAAGCACCATATTTCTTGTATATTTATGAGGAGTTCAAGTAAACTAAGGTAATACAATGTTGGAAGCTTCTAGGGAGATAGCCAATTGACGTCTCAACTACTGTTGGTTATATGCCCTTTTTTTAAAAAAAAGCAAAAGTTCAGTATAAGTCAACATGAAATTGTTGCCAAAACAAAACAAAATATAGGGTTAGATTAATGAAATAACTAATAGTTTTTACTTTATTGCTCATTAATGACAAATGTCTCAATTTAAGACACTAAAAAGAATATATCTAGAAAAAAAACTGGAATGGTAAAAGGGAAATCATGTCAAACATAAAATGGTTAAAGAGCAAGGGATGTTTAATCAGGAAAAGAGATGACTTTATGGGTTTAACACCTGTCTTTAACTAAAGGGCTATTGTTTAAAATAAGAAATGGCTCTTCTATATTATTCCAGTGGCTAGAACTAGAACCAATCCAAGTGACCACTAGAAAAGCAGGTTAAGATTCAATTTAAGACAATATTGTGAATATAGTGAAGAAAAACTTTCCAATAATTTATATAGCTTTTCCACAGTGGAATGAACAAATATCCAAAGCAGAGGATCACTTATCAGAGATGTTAGAACTTTTATGTTTTATGGTTAGACTGAATCAGTGTTTCCCAAACTGAATGCATGTTAATAAAATTATGAAGATTTTAAAAATACAAATTTCCACAGTTGCCACTGCAAGTCCAGTGGGTGGGGCCTGGAAGCACTCACTATGAAGGGTCTCCTAAATTATTCTGATTTGCCTGGTAGCCAGTGGTTTGAGATCCTCTATTTGAAAACCACATAATTAGATGGCCTTTAAGATTCCTTAAGAGTTCCAAAATAATGGAAGCCGTCTTTATATAGACAGCTTGAAGCTGTTTTATGTTTGTATCTGAAAAGCACTTGCAAAAATAAATTGGAAATATCTAAAAGTGCATGTCACTTTGACCAGTCTTTAATCCCCCCAAAAAGCATGTGGCAAAATTATCTTATACTTAAAAGTGCTATTATTATATAAAAGAATGTCTCTAACCTGGATGAATTATAAAGAAATGATCATCAGTGTTCATTTAATGAATGTGTACTGTGAGCCCATTATATGCCAGTGAACAAAAATGTTACAACCCTACCCCAAGAGAACTCAGCCAAATCACCAAGAAACTATAATGTTATCTCAAAAGGAAAGTAGAGAGTGCTATGGGTGTAACCACTATCCTAAACTAAAGGCCAGGGGATGCAAATTAAGAGAATTGTGAGAGATCCTTAAAGTAGGATTTAGGTGGGGGGGTAAGGTAAAAAGAGGGAATTGGAGAAAAGAAGCAAAAGCTTGGATTAAACCTTTATTTGGAATACTCACTGAAAATACTCCTCTACTAATCTGAGTCATTTCTGTACTTTGTTGTGTTTACCTGGTAGAAGTAGTACTCATATGGATCTGTTTTATATATTAGTATCGATAGATTAAGTGTTGCCAGATTTGTTTTGTTTTATTTTTATGGTGCTTCAAGAGTAAAGGCATCTAAACCATTATTGCTTTAAAATATGTACCTTCTAGCCGGGACCGGTTTGGCTCAATGGATAGAGCGTCGGCTTGGGGACTGAAAGGTCCCGAGTTCGGTTCCGGTCAAGGGCATGTACCCTGGTTGCGGGCATATCCCCAGTAGGGGGTGTGCAAAAGGCAGCTGATCGATGACTCTCTCTCATCGATGTTTCTGACTCTCTATCTCTCTCCCTTCCTTTCTGTTCAAAATCAATAAAATATATATTTTTTAAAAAAAGTAAAATATGTACTTTCTAAAAATTAAGCCTATACTCAGCAGTTAAAAAATAAGATATAGGAAGATTGAAACAATGTGCATTGTGTTTGTGGAATCTCTCTAGTAGTAAGTTAGTTCAGGTGACTTTTCCTCTTCAGTATTTTTTATCATTTTAAAATGTAATTTGTCTGTTGTCCCTTGTGTCTTTTATTTATTCCTGTTGACTGTAGCTTTGTTTTCTTAATCATCACCAGAAGACATGTTAGGGAAGAGGAGGGGGAGGGAGGGAGGGAGGGAGGGAGAGAGGGAGGGAGGGAGGAAGGAACATCAGTGGGTTGCCTCCCAATTGATCTACTGAACGATGTTCCAACCAGCTGAAATGCTTGCCAGGGCTAGCTTTGTTTTTAATGGGCTATCTCATTCTGTTATTGTAGTCTATATTTCCTAAGATAATTTAATGACTATTTGTTGTCTTAGAAAATCACTATATTCTCAAGAATTGGAAAAACTTAATTCCAAAATTGCTATCAATAACAGTGCTATCTAAATTAAAAATTATATTATTTGAAAACTTCAATATAATTATCAGTAGATGGTGAGATGACATAATGAATATTTTATTTAATAAAGGATGAGAATATTAGATTTTTAAAAAATATATTGATTTTAGAGAAGGGAGAGGAAGAGAGATAGAAACCTCAATGATGAGAAGTAATCACTGATTCGCTGCCTCCTGTATACCCACTACTGGGGATCAAGCCTGCAACCCAGGCATGTGCCCTTGGTCAGAATTGAATCTGGGACCCTTCATTTCGCAGGCCAGTGTTCTATCCATTGAGCCATGCCAGCTAGGGTGAGAATATTAGATATTGATGTTAAATGCTATACCTAATATATAAACTTTTATCTTCATTTATCTTATTTGCTAGATTTTGAATAAACTTGAAAACATTTTTAACATTTTAACACTATTGCATAGCTCTTGCTAACCTTTTATAAGAGAGAATTCTAAACATATTCTTGATGATAACTTGAAACTTGTTTTATTTTAATTTTATGTTTTAATTGTTCCCTTATAGAATGTTTCTCCATCCCAGAGAGATGAAGTGATTCAGTGGTTGGCCAAACTCAAGTACCAATTCAACCTTTATCCAGAAACATTTGCTTTGGCTAGCAGTCTTTTGGACAGGTTTTTAGCTACTGTAAAGGTAATTAATTATTTTAGGATACACTTAAACACAGCCTCTGTTTGAGGCTCTATATGCTAAACTCTTGGCTATTAGTAAACATTCTATAAGATGGAAAGGAATAGGAAAACCTTCGTGGATATGATACATGTACCTATAAGAAAGCATGATGTCTTCTATTTTAAATTTTCAGGAATGTTTCTAATTGTGTAATTTTGTTGCTACAAGTATTCCTAACTTATGCTCAACTTGTGAAATTTTTTATCTAATTTTATTGCAAACCATATAGCATTGGCAGAATGTTTAGTCACCTTTTAACATAATGTGGACACTGAATCAAACTAGAAAAGTATAAGCCTATTACACATTTTTCTGTCACTTGTTTATTGAATATTGTCTGGTTTTCTGAACAATATATACTTTCTAGAGGTATACATTTGGAGCATAACAAGATGAACTGAACTGTCATAAAATAACTTGTATTTTTGTTGAATGGCAAATATATGAATATGTTTTATATTGACCCTGTTGGTACATCTTTGGTTATATTATGCAGAATCAGTCATAGTGGACCCTCAACAGATTTAAAGCAGAAAGTTAGCCAAGACCGGTTTGGCTCAATGGATAGAGCGTCGGCTTGGGGACTGAAGGGTCCCGGGTTCGATTCCGGTCAAGGGCATGTACTTTGGTTGCGGGCATATCCCCAGTAGGGGATGTGCAAGAGGCAGCTGATCAATATCTCTCTCTCATTGATGTTTCTAGCTTTCTATCCCTCTTTCTTCCTCTCTGTAAAAAAATCAATAAAAAATATATTAAAAACAATAAATAAATAAATAAAGCAGAAAGTTAGTGTTTAATAAAAAATTTAAAAAGCAATTCAATTGTTACTTGTATGTCTAGGATTATATAAGCCGGGGGAACTATGAATTCAGTACTGAGGGTTCTATACTCTTTCTTACTAGGTATGAAACATAGAAGCCATTTGGATGGCTATTTAGTTAGCTTTTTATGTTTCAAACTAATACTCTTAAGAGACTTTAAAAAACCTTAATTACAGTGATACTAATTGCCTGAAATCGGGATTATCTGAGATGCCTACTTTTATTTCAGTATCAAGTCCCCCACCCTTCCATCCTGGCTCCCTATAACATCTAACCTCCCTTTCATAGAAAAAGATGCTTGTAAGGTCAGGGTCTTTTCTTGGGTCATACTTTCTTCAAAAATTATTAATGAACTTATTATAGCTTTTATTAAAGAAAAGATTACTGACCTTATTAAATGTTTTAAATTGATTTGGGCAAGTTTTGAAACAATTTTGCCAAGTATAATCTGATTTTTTTTATATTTCTTATTTAATGGGTCCTGTCATGTTGTTAGCATCAGATATAGTATTGTTATTCAGATGGTTAGTCTACATTGAAATAATCTAAAATGTATTCATAGTTTAAATAAAGGCACTTAAACTTTAAATAAAATTTAAATAAAAGGGCTACAGCAAAGAGTGGAACGTTAATCCTAGCTTTGTAGAATAAAGTGCTATGAAGCTCTTTAAAAATGTGGACCCTGAGTACTCTCCCAGACTTACTGATTGTGAATCTCTAATACATAAGATGTGTATGTTTGTATGTGAAGAATACATCCTGATGTACATCCAGGACTAACAACTACTATTAGTTTAAAATCAGACATTTGCTGCTGGGAGTTTTTATATTACTTTTATTTATTTATTTATTTTTTTTTTTTTTTTTTTTTTTGTGCCCTTGATTTAGGGGTTGCATTGCCTACTTGAAGTTATTAACTGTTGGGATCTTTGTAATGAACTCTGATTACCTCATAGATGTGGGTTTGATATGTTGTACACATGGGAAAATAATGGAATCTGGAAAACTATCTTAGCAACAAGATCTGGCTCACTTCTTAGATCACTTGGTGTCTCTAACCTCTGAGACATGTTTTCTCATTTATAGAAAGATGTAATAGACATGACAATATTTATGGAAGTACTTTCTGAACTGTATTAACTGGTTAGTATTAGTGATTATTTTAAGATATTGGTAGTATTGGACCAGCTTTTATTATCACATACAGGCAGAAGATTTAGTGTAAGATTCCTAGACAGTATGCCACTTGTACTGAGGCGTAGTGGTCATTGGCACATTTGTTAAAAGTTACTTAATCAGGGTTGTACTATGGTCATTGGAAGGGTCTCTCGTTTCACAGAAATGAATGTAATATTGAAGTATAAAATACATGTTGATACAGGCTTTCTTTGTGTTGTATAACTTAACCTCTGTCATCTATACATATAAAAGACTAACATGCAAAGTGTCCCCTTGGGAGTTTGACCAAGAGACCGGGAGTTTCAATTGCTTGCTGTGACATGTTCTGACCACCAGGGCACGGCACGGAATGAAGAAAGGCCCCAGCTGGCAGCTACAAGGCCCCTAAATGGCCCTGATTGCAACTAGGCTTAGGGACCCTACCTGTGAATGAATTTTCTGCACCAGGCCTCTAGTACAATATAATTAGGACTAAATTGTTTTGGTTACTTAAAACTGGATTCTGATGCTGGATCGGCAAACCCTTATTCTACCAGTAAGGTAGAAAGTGGACTAACTTTATTGTAGATATGGAAAAGAGGCAAATTCCAACCCTACTATGGGGTCAAACCCAAGAACTTCTTTTTACCCACTGATTAATTCTGTATATATTTAGGATCCTTTCATTCTTATAATGGAGTTTGAATATATAATTTTGTATGTGTGCACATTAATGATTAGAACATTTCTACTTGTTGGCTATTTTATAATTTTTTAAAGCATTTGAAATTTATTAATTGCTTTCTTGTATGTATTTTCTTCTATTTAATTCTCCTAGCACCTCATATGTTAATTTTACTGATGGATAGGTAAAGAGAATAAAACTAGCTTAAAAATACACATACACAAATATTTTTACTTTGGAGAATTTTGTTTATTAAATTAAAAATTGTCTTCTAAAATCAAGCTCTTGTCTGCTGGATAGAAAAGAACTTTGGCTAAGTAGCATTGGTTGAACTTCTAGCAATGGGAAGATGCTAGTCTTTCCATAGAATAACAAATGGCTAGGGTTGTGAAGTTAAAAGTCATCTGATCTTAGAAAGCCATGGGTGGGAATCAAATGAATTGCTTTCCATCGAATATATGCATACTTATCTGCTTACCTAGTTTTTAAAAATAAATTTAACTTTTGAAGAATCACTGAAGTTGCTTTTTCACTCTTTATAATTGTAGGCCCATCCAAAATACTTGAGTTGCATTGCAATCAGCTGTTTTTTCCTAGCTGCCAAGACTGTTGAGGAAGATGAGGTAAATTTTTTTTAAAGATTAATTATTTCTCTTTGGAATACTTATCTCCATTTATTCACCTGCTTTTTGTTTACTAAAATGAAAGTTAAAAATGAAATTTTTCTGTCCTTTCCTCCCTTGTCCCTCTTTTGTTTGGATAGAGAATTCCAGTACTGAAGGTGTTGGCAAGAGACAGTTTCTGTGGATGTTCTTCATCTGAAATTCTGAGAATGGAGAGAATTATTCTGGATAAGTTGAATTGGGACCTTCACACAGCCACACCATTGGATTTTCTTCACATTGTAAATATACCTGAAGTTTTTATTTTCTTATTTGAATATATAATCCTATTTCAGTAACTTGCTCATTTGTTTTATTCTGAATTTTAGCTAAGGAAAAATTAGCAATTTAAGGGTGTATGTCAAATAACTGAAACTAACATTTCAAACTTAAAAATTGTGTAACACTAAAAATTCCATCAATTTTTATACATAATTTACCTAGACATTTAAGTAAAACTAGAATGATGGTCTTGTGATTTTTTATTTATTTATTTATTTATTTATTTATTTATTTATTTATTTATTTTTTTACTAGTTCCATGCCATTGCAGTGTCAACTAGGCCTCAGTTACTTTTCAGTTTGCCTAAACTGAGCCCATCTCAACATTTGGCAGTCCTAACCAAGCAACTACTTCACTGTATGGCCTGCAACCAACTTCTGCAATTCAAAGGATCCATGCTTGCTCTGGCCATGGTTAGTTTGGAAATGGAGAAACTCATTCCTGATTGGCTTCCCCTTACAATTGAATTGCTTCAAAAAGCACAGGTAGGTGTCAGTCTAATTAAATGGTGTTCATTTCAAGTGTATCTCTTACTTGGATAAATAGGATTACCAGATGGTTATAACACTAAGAGACATTTCTAATCTTAAAATGGCAAACCATTTTTAAGAGTAGATTAAGGTAAAGTAATTTACACTTTAAATTTATGGGCTAATCTTTTTTCTTCCTGTAAAGCTTATATAGTATTTCTTGATTCTTTTAAACCTTAAACCCTTCTAGATTACTTAAAATCTTTAAGTGTCTTGAAAAAGTTAATATGATTTTCAATTATATATTTTCCTTTAGTTTTGTATGAAAAATCTTCCTAGCTGCATTTATAGGTTTCATTGTAGTACTTCCATACTTCACTCATTTTATAAAAGATGCATCAAAAACATAAATTGTAAGAAGTTGTTTTTTTAGGTTAGAAAGTGAAGTATTTGTACCAGAGTTTTTGGAAAGTAGAAGCTCTCTTTCTGAAAGAGGGTTAGTCCTAATAGTTCTGTTATTGCCTGAGATTAGTCCATCACTTGTATTTGCAAATTGGTATAAAATGTTATGGGTCATTTAGATTTTTATCAGCCATCTATATAAAATGTAAGGGTTTAGTGGGAAAAATATCATTCCAGTGGAAAGTTGATAGATGTTACTAATTATTTTGAGAGAATTCTTATTAGTTCTACTCCTGTGACCAAGTAGAACTTACAGATTTAGATCTACAAACCTACTCCTGCCAACTGAATCCATAAATGACTTGTGAACTTACTTTCCCTTTGTATGTCCCTATTCTCATTTGGCAGTAGTTATTCTTATTTGTTTTATTGGATTTTGTTTAGAGAAAAGGCTTAAATTCTGAGCTTAAACACATTTTTAAATATATATATATATATATATATATATTTTTTTTTTTTTTTTAATTGATTTTTTACAGAGAGAAAGAGAGAGGAATAGAGAGTTAGAAACATCGATGAGAGAGAAACATTGATCAGCTGCCTCTTGCACACCCCCCACTGGCGATGTGCCTGCAACCAAGGTACATGTCCTTGACTGGAATTGTAGCCAAACCGGTTTTGGCACATTTTCATTATAGAAACTAATTTTAGCAGAGACTGCAGTTTTATTAATAAAATTTATAAGAGAATATTATAAAAGAAAAATGAGACTACTTGAGTTTGGTGTTTTGTATAAATTAGTTATAACTAATCATGTTATAGATGTGAGCTGTAAATGTCAGCAGACATACAAGGGCTACCTCTCAGCTTTGAGAATTTCAGGTCCTAGTTTGCGAGCAGAGAAAGTCAAGCTTTTTATAAAAAGGGTAGCGATCAGAGCAACACATTAGCCAGAGCACTACCATTCTTCTATGTGTTTTGTTTCACTGTTTTTAGCATGGTTCAGCTTGTTCTTTATTCCTAGGACATGTGATGTGAATGTAATAAGGGTATTTCTTCTTTATAAGTGAGATGATTCTTTTAATAGCATATGTTACATTGAAATCATTGAGAAGTGTTCATTTCCTTTGAAATAAATGCTATGATGAAAGTCAGTCCTAGGAGAAAGTTGCTATTTCGTGAGAAGGTTTAGAAACTTTCATAAACCATCATACCATATGTAAATAATATAGGACAGAAAATTTATTTTGTCTACCTAGAGTGTTGGAAAAATGAAATTGAATATTAACCATTACATTATATCACATTATGTTAGACACATGTGGCAGTAGGGAATGGGCATTAATAGAAAACCACCTATGCTATATTTTACTAGAGGCCTGGTACATTAATTTGTGCACCAATGGGGTCTCTTGGCCTGCCCCGTGGGATCGGGCCCAAATTGGCTCTCTGACATCCCCTGAGGGACATCCCCTGAGGGGTCTCGAATTGCGAGAGGGCACAGACCAGACTGAGGGACCCCCAATGCATAATTGGGACCTGGGAGGGATGCAGGAGGTTGGCCAGCTGGGGAGAGACCAAGGAAGGGCTTTATGACATGTCTAGCCTGTTCTGCTCAGTCCTGATTGGTTGGACCCCAGCGTTGGTCCCCTTGTGCATGTCATAGGGACTGGTTGGCTGGTTGTCTGCCCCTTGTGGTCAGTGGACGTCACGGCAAGTGATTGAGTGACCTTAGCGTATCATTAGCATATTATACTTTTGATTGGTTGAACAGATGACTAGATACATAGCATATTAGGCTTTTATTATATAGAATTTTTTTTATTCAAATAAATGACATCCTTCTAAATGCCACTTGATTTGGTCTCTGTGTCTATTCCCAAGCTAACACAGAAAATTTTGAAGTGCTATTATTACAGAGAAAGGACAGACTTTGAAGCATAAATGAAAAGAATGCTTTAAATAGCATGTGTATTTCTGTAGCTTTAAGGGCTGTTCTCTACTGGAAAACACTGGAGAAGCTGCTGCTTCTCTCTCATAAGTCTGGTGCTGGAAGAAGAAAGTGTTCACTAAGTCTTGTTTCCCGTTTTACTGAAGGAGTATCATAAGCTTGGAATTGAAGGCATCTTCTTAGAAATAATTTCACTCAACTCCTTTATTTTATACCTGTTGTCCAGGGAACATGAGGCTTTTTCAGAGATACACAGGACTCCTTAGTAGTAAAGTAGACAAAAACACAGTGCTTTTTCAATATCACACAAACCTTAAAGATTCCAGTCCAGTGGTTTTTAGAGTTTTTGCAGAACTGGAACTCTCCCCTCACCCCCAACACACAATCCCAGAAATAGAAAAGTATCACTTGATTATGTGTTTGGGACAGAGATCTTTTGGGTCCAAAGTCCTACTCAACATGGCCTCTTCCCTTCTGTAAGCTGTTTGGACATAGTTTGAAAACCACTGTTCCATTCTTTTATATAATATAAATAGCTATAGTCCACAAACATTTATTGGGAATTTTATGATCTAGGCACTGGGAATACAGTGATTCTAAAAAGGAAGTCTGCCCCATGTAGTATTCAAGTTACAATGGGGGAGGTAGTTAAAAACAAGGTCAGGAAACTTTAGAGACTTTGGGACTTGATCTTAGCAGTTCTCTAAAATCATCTTGGATTGGTGGCCAACCCTTGTGGCCCAAACCTGATGACTCCTGATTTTTCAAAATTCAGTTTTGTCTTCGCTAAGTTCGCCTGTGTTTAGGTAATCATTGTGATTAGACCTGGGACAAAGCCATAGTAATATCAGGTATTCCCTCTGGATTTCTGATTCTGGTGTAGGAATTACTTCTGACATGCTCCCTTTTGCTCTGGGTTGAGAGGACTGTCAGTGGCTCATCACAGACACTTTGTGCTATGCGGAGGCCACTGTCACTAACTCTGCCTGTGTTCCTTCCAGACTTAAAATTACAGTGAGTGTTCCCTGGTTTGAAAAACAAGCTTCCTCTTGTCCCTCCTAGTTTCCCCATTCCTATTAGCTCATATGCCACCTGTTAGTCACCATTCTGAGATGCCTAAACCCTTTTCTCTTCTTACCCCTTCTCTCATTACTTTAATTCTATGGCTAGCCTCAGTATCCTCCTTTTCCTGACTGATGAGGCCCTCCTTGATAATCTTAGGATGTTAAACCTTATCATGTAGTGGTCTCTCGATCACTAGCCAGGCAGTAGTCAAAATAGATGTTCCTTACTATGGTATAATACAAAAATTAGAGTAATGAGTTAAAGAAGCAAACTCTCCTTACCAGGGTCTCCCAGTTCTTCTTGAAGGTGTCAAAGGTCAGACTGTTTCAGTAGGATTTCTCAGAGCTTCATACTGTGCAGTGAACCCAAATTCAACTGAACCTATTACTTAAGTCTTGCTGTTCTGTCCCCCCTTTCCAGCAGTAAACTATTTGGACATCTACCCTGTAAACTGTTTTAATCTCTAATTTCTTCTTAGTTGTATCATTTTTAAACAACATATTTTTATTGATTTTAGAGAGAAAGGGAGAGAGAGAAAAAAATCAATGTTGAGAGAGAATCATTGATCACCTGCCTCTTGCATGTCCCCTACGGTGGGGGTGGGGAATCAATCAAGCCCACAACCAAGGCATCTGCCCTTGACCAGGGTCGAAACTGGGACCCTTCGGTCCACAGGTCAGTGTTCTATTCACTGAGCCAAACCAGCTAGGGCTATATGTATAATTTTCTGCTAGTTCTCATCTCTGTAACAACCCATTATTTCACAGAGAAAGATTATAGTGACATAGTTTTTTATTTGAAATTTTTCTCTTTTCATAATTTGCTGTGATATTATGCCTAATGATTAAAGCAATAGAATATTTGTAGTACTTGTATTTTTTGTATATGTGCTGCTGAAGCGAGCACTGTAGTACTTCTATTTTTCTAGGTCACTAAGTATCATTCATTTGCTAAGGCACAGTTTATTACACTAGGTACTTACTTTTTAGAAATAGTTTTTACAATATAGTCTTTTTTCACTTCCCAATTTCTTTTATTTCTATCACTTCTTTTTTGTAGGCTTCTTGAAGTACTGGATAGGGTACCAATTGCTTTAAGGAACTTTGAAATCCCATCCCTTTTCTGTGTGCTTTGTCCCACTGTTTTCCTGGTTAACAAGTAATGAATGTATTTAGAGATAAAAACAATTTGTGACCACATGTGTTCTTGTAAAGTGTGTTATTTTTCTGTGGTATTGCAAATAGTCATGCTTGTGTGCTACAGATTATATATATATGTGAATAAAACTTGGTTAAGAAATATCCAAAAATGCTTATGAAATATATGACTGAAAAGTTAACCTTTGATAGTTAAATAGTCAAGATAGGCTTCCAGAAAGATGGTGGTAATTAGCCAGATCTGGAAGGTATTAGGTAGGTAATGCAATTTCAACAAGTAGAAACAGGATGAGTAAGGGTAAAGTAAGAAAGGACAAGATTTATACAGAATAGAGAGCAGGCCCATTTGGCAGGAATGGAGAGCACAAATTGGGATATGTTAGGAAATAAGGATGGATAAGAAGGCTGGTGTCAGATTGTGTAGACCTTATTAATAAGCCAAAGAATCGAGCTTATTGCTGGTAGGCATTGGGGTGCCACCAAAGAATTTTGAATAGGGAAGAAATATATAATAGGGAAGATTATTTGAGTACAGCTATAATTACAGAGAACAGAAGGCCAAGAGACTAATGACTCTTTACCAGAGGTAAGATTTTGAAGGCCTTCCGAAAGATCTTGGGATCTTGTAATCTATAATAGAAAAGCTAAATCTTTAAATAGATCATGCTGATACAATGTGATTGACTTTGATGTCAAGTTGATATAGAAACAGATGATTCTGGAGTTTGGGTGGAGTCAAGGGTGGCTTCAGGAAGGATTGATATTTGAACTGTCCTGAAGGGTAACAAGGACTTAACTCCCAAATTAAACAAAAACATTTCTTCCTAGTGTTGTCAAGCCTGTTACTTTTCTACAAAAATATGTCTTGTCAAAAGTTCTCACTTACTGTCTAAAAAAGAAAAATACTTAAATTATTCTCAAGGCCTGGAAGCCTTTCCCATTTCTTATTTAAAATTTTTTCTTGCCTCTGGCTTCTTCCTTCAATTCTTAATTTTAATCACTGAAGAGATTAGAAGAGGCAGGGGGATGGACTGGACCAAAGCAAATGTGGGTATGTAGCAGTGAGCACAAGAGCTCACGATTTTACTTTCATGAAGATGTTCAGCATATAATTGCAAATACAAAATGCAAGTTTCAAAGATATTTATATTAAAATACTGCATTTGAGCAGAATTCCTAAGATGGTAGGTAATCTGGAAGAATAGATGGGTTTGAGGTAAAAGATAAGAGGCAAGGAAAGGAAGGTGGGGTGCAGAGGGCACAGGATAGGAAAGCAGCCAGCAAAGATGACAGCAGCTTATGTTAATTAAATTATCAACTTTTTTCTTCCCACCCCTCCCAGATGGATAGCTCCCAGTTGATACACTGTCGGGAGCTTGTGTCACATCACCTTTCAACTCTGCAGTCTTCCTTGCCTCTAAATTCCGTTTATGTCTACCGCCCCCTCAAGCACACCCTGGTGACCTGTGACAAAGGAGTGTTCAGATTACATCCCTCCTCTGTCACAGGCCCAGATTTCTCCAAGGACAACAGCAAACCAGAAGTGCCAGTCAGAGGTACAGCAGCCTTCTATCATCATCTCCCAGCTGCCAGTGGGTGCAAGTATACCTCTGCCAAACGTAAAGTAGAGGAAATGGAAGTGGATGACTTCTATGATGGAATCAAGCGGCTCTATAATGAAGATAATGCTTCAGAAAATGTGGGGTCTGTGTGTGGCACTGATTTATCAAGGCAGGAGGGACATGCTTCCCCTTGTCCTCCTCTGCAGCCTGTGTCTGTCATGTAGCTTCAAGTGTTATCTTCAAGTGCAAGCTGAGGTCTACTACTATGGGAGCAGGAACATGGAAGACCAGGGAAGGTATATACCGAATCAGGCTGATTTGACATGAGCCAGAAAAAAAACAAAAACATTTATTAGTGTGGCTAATTATAATTTAACATTAGACATTATTTAAGCACTTAAAGACCCCCAAAAAAGTATAAAATTTGAAAGATCCAACAATTTTAAGTAAAAAAATTCTTTGTAGTATTTGTCAGTTCTGCCATTTACTCTGCTAAAATGTAATGTAGGTTTCCCCATGTCAAAAGTTCACATTCAGTGTTGTTGTTGTTTTTAAGTTCCAAAATTTCATAGCTAACAAACACAATGCCATGTCCTGACTTAATTTTCCTGAATATTAGTGAATTTTATGCGTGTTGATCGATAGCCTGACTTCCACTGATTAGAAAGCCCTCAAAATTATTTTTTTTAGCAATTCAGTGAATAGATTATTTCAGATTGACAGCCATATTTAATCCATGATTCAAATTCAAATTAATCTGAAAAGAATACCTCAAAGTTGCTCCAAAGGAATCAGAGATGATAATAGAAAAAGGACTCACATTGATTTTTGTGTTTTATCTCATTTGTTTCTAAGATTTGGAAAAAAAATTATTTTTATTTTTGATGATCTTAAAATGAAAGTTAAGTGTCGTATAATTAGGGTACTCTTAGATTTGCTAAAGCATTTTTGACATTTGGATAAGAAATTTGTGATAAATATGTCAAGGTACTTATCAAAGAAATATGTAACAGCTAAAATTTAGATTTTGTTTTTTTGTAATTTATCAGCTGCTTTTCACTCTGTAATCAGTAGGAGAGACTGTCGTGATGTTGGGACAGCTCTATGATTGGGTCTGTGACATATAACTGAATTTAGTTCCCTAGTTTTATGTTAAGCTATTAGGATTTTCTGGATAAAAGTTATTCTCTGCCTCCCAAGCTACCTATATTTCTCTTAATGACTCCTGTAATCTGAGCTCCCTTTGCAGTCTGAAGAAGGTATTTCAGCCAGAACCAGCCATGTACTGATGATGATAAAAGCATCTGGTAGCAATAAATGTTGTCCTTAACCTTGTCGTTTCTTTCTTCTACTTGTGAAGAAGTGCAAGTTTTTGATTGCTTAGGCACTGCTATTTAAACTGGAAAATAATAGAAGTCCTAAGAATGTGCTTCATAGAAAATAATACATGAAGGAAGTGATTTAAATATGAAGGATGCTTGGCTTCCTCCATCCCCTTCCTAGAGGCAAACCAAGCTTCCTGCTCACTCTAGGTCCATGGCTGCCTCCATCTTTGTTGGGTGAATTTGCATACTCCAGATTGGCTGGTGGATGTAGAGAAGTGATGGTCAATTTGCATGTTTCTCTTTTATTAGTATAGATAATAATGAAGTAATACGCAAATTGACTGTCACACCCTCAAAGGATGGCTGCCTACAAACCAGGCCAGCAGGGGAGTTGATGAGGGACGACCAAATGACTGAACAAGCAGGCTGTGTAGGGTGACCAGGCTGGTGGCGGGGGGTGGTTAGTGAGGGATGACTAAATGATTGAACAGCAGGCTGTGTGGGGCAACCAGGCTGGCAGTTGGGGATGACCAGGCTAGCAGGAGGGGCAGTTATGAGTAACGGGGGCAGTTGGGGGCGACCAAGCTGGTGGGGGTGGGGGAGTTAGGAGTAACCAGCCAGGCAAGGAGGGGACAGTTGGGGGCGATCAGGCAGGCAGGTTGGTGAGCAGTTAGGAGCCTGGGTCCAGGACTGTGAGAGGGATGTCGGGGATTGGGCCTAAACTGGCAGTTGGACATCCCTCCAGGGGTCCTGGATTGGAGTGTGTGCAGGCTGGGCAGAGGGGGACACCCTCACTCCTCCCCCCCCCCCCCCGGTGCATGAAATCCATGCACTGGGCCTCTAGTTTAATCTATAGTCAATTAAATGATAGTACTTTGGATACCAGACCCTTCTGAGCACTCTCCCATAAATCTGGGCTGTTGGAGGACTTTGTCTCTGAGGGTCTGAAATCATGGATTGGGACAGAAAAGTACAGTATTCTTTGACAATGGGGAATTTTTCATTAATATTTCTGTTAAATTATATCCTGTTTTACCTGAAACTATTCTCATTAGCCTACCCCAGGTTACTTGACTTAAATCTTGGCATCACATCATAAGCTATTTTCTTCCAAGATTTGAAAACTGGTCCTTTATGGATCATAATTGTCAGGTTCCTCCTGGTGGTTAGAAAAGCTATCATTCATTGAAGCCTGCACGAAGGTAAGGGAATAAACTGCATGGGCATAAATCATTTTCTTACCCTCCATTCAATAGAGGTGAAAAGTGCATACTGTATTTTGAAGATCAAACTAAGAGAAGCTAAATGCGTACTTCATTCTTTTTGCAAGATTGGTATGAAGTTGGTTACCTGTGGAGAACTAAATGTTTTATCTATAGGTGATATCTAATATTAGTGTAGAAGGGGAGGGGAGGTTTGGGGAGGAGTGGTACTCCAAATGTCAGATACAACTGATTTATCAGAAATGTTCTTGAAACTATGCCTCTGGCTCTGAAGGAACTAGAGCATAGGTCTTCACTCAGCCAAGCTGATGTGAGCATCTGAGCCTGCATTCCCACCATTGAGGAAACTTAGACATTGCTTTCTGTCCTTACCCCAAGAAGTATTCTTTTCTCCTGTGTTGTTAAGCAAATATGTGTGCATGTCCTCTGCATTCCACATACTTGGGTTTTCAAGCTGTCTAATGTACTCAGTCTAGGGTTCCTGAAACAAGCAGCACAGTGGCCTTTCTCTAAAAACGTGATTCAATCACCATTGCTTATCCAACATGGTGGGAACTTATCTTCATCCTTAAGGCAGTTTGTACACTTTCAAATGGAAAGGGTAGATACCGTGCCAAATGTTCTCACAACTATCCTGGGAGATAGCATGCCTCATGCACATTAGCAAGTTGGGAGTTGGATAATTGTCCAGTGCCGTATAGCTTTTTTTTTTTTTAAACAAGTTTCAGATTCCAACTCATATCTCTAGCCTTTACATTTGATATCATGAAGTTTCTAACGTAATTATTACTTCAGAAACCTCCAGAATTCTTGAAATTAGCCTTTAAACTGTTAATTCAGTGTCTCCTACACCTGTTATTGTGTGAAATTTGGCCACTAGATGGTGCTTCCAGGAAAAGGAAACATCTTACATTTTTTGGGAGAAATTGAGTTTGGTTTACAGTACCCGGAACGAGTAGTTGAATACTCATCTCGTTACTAGGAATATTTAACATCAATTGCAGTTACAAATTCACGTCACTGTACACGTGGGACTGAGAAAATAAGCAAAATCTGTGTTGGTAAGAGACAGGTGACTGGCTAGATATGTCTCTTACCAAAAAAACAAAACAAAAAAAAAAAAAACAAGCAAAGCATTTTTACAAATTAATACCTTGATGCCCTCCTTTTGAGTTAGCTGTGACCAACCCTTACGTCAGAAATGACAAGAGTACAGGTTTTTGTAGCACAGCTTGCATTAAGGACTTAGAATGAAAGAAAGCTCCCCTCACAATATTGAGTTTAGTGGTTTTTATGATGTAATATATGCGGTCCATATGTAGGACAGACATAACTCTTTGACATCTCTTGGTTATTGAGAAGGTGTAATAAGAGGTAACTAAGAGTGATTTGGTCAGAAGAATGACTTTATCACAACTCTAGTTCCCAGGGACTTCTGAGTTAAGGATGAAATGGGAAGAACCCCTCTCTTTCTCTTAACTCTTAAAGTACAACCTTTTAGAGTAGATAATATGCCAGAATTGTTGACCTCTGTGTTACACAACAGGGCGGGGGGGGGGGGGGCAAAGAATAGCATAATGAACTGGCTTCTCACTTCTCAGAAACGCTTAGTTGGGCAAGAGGACACTGCAAAATAAAGGGCAACCTTAAACAAGCAACTACTGAAAAGCAATTGGTGGTGGTGAGCTTTTGCTTTTCAGAATATGATCCATCCAGCAATTTAGCATTCAAAGGGCTTACCTTTTTACTCCAGAAGTTTGCTCATGAGGTATAAAGATAGCAACTGATGTAGGCCTAATGCTGAATATAGAATAAAGAAGTATTTGGAAAGAGGGAGGGTGTAGAAAAGGTAGGTGGATGGGTGGGGTAAGGGCAAGGAGAGGTCTAAAAGCATTGTACAGAGAATGTATGGTTGGCCAAGCTCTCTATAGAATGTTATTCTGCACCCTCCCCCATACACACGACTTGGGGAACAGGGACCAACCTTGTTATATAATAGCTTCTGCCTCCTCTGATCTATCAAGATGCCATAATTTAGAGAAGTTTCCACAGTGAACTGAAATGTCATTCAACTCACAGCACTGAGTGTGTAACTGACTTTGAGCCAGAAGTAAAATCATTTGAGCCAGATCTGAATGTCTCACAACCAAAAGAACTCACTCACTTGAATATAGCTACTTGTCAGAATAGTCAAGTTGAAGAGAGAGGTGAGTGGTACCTAGACTCACAATGAACATATCCTCATCCCTCACCGCCGTGGGGGTGCCAGTTGCCTGCTAGAGATTGTTCTGAGAGCCAGATGGGGTCCATCACAAGAACTAAACACCAGGGCCTTCAGAATTCAAGTACAGGATATTCAGAGTGAGCGGCATTGCCATCAGAGCCAATCTCCCGGGTAGAAAGATAGTAAGTTGTCTGCCAAGCAAAAGGTTTTGTGTAAAAATGTCATTTGAATACAGTGAAAGTTATGCCTTTAGTTTTTCAGATATTAGAACTTTTTTTACCCATAAGCTGGGCCAACGACAGGCAAAAATAAAACCAAAAAACTAAAGTAACTATGAAGGACCTTTCATTTAAAGGTATAGTTGATGGGGAAAAGTTTGGCCAAGCATATTCGAAAGATGACCTAATTTTATCTGCCCCACTTTAGCACATACTGATTCAGGAAATCAATCTCTCTACCTGAGCTGTGGCAGCCTCCGGCAGACCATCCAGGCCACACCTAGGGCAAGAAAGCACTGCCTGTATTTGAAACCAAGTAATATTTTAAAAGACTGAATGGAAAATAGCTTGCTATCAATGCAATATATAGGCTTTGGGGATCAATTCTTGCTTTACTTTTTCAGTCTACCATGGAAGTGAATTTTTATTACTGAAGATCATTAGCTCTGAGATGGTTTCATAGCCAGAAATCTGAGAACCTACCAGTGTTATCAGCACTTGAGAAAAGGCACCCTATTGGAGTAATAACGGTGGTGGTGAGCTTTTGGGAGAGATGGCAGGCATCTGACCTGTCGTGCGTGTCTGTGATCAGCTTTTCCTTGGTAACTGAGCAGAAGCCAATCTACTTAGAATAGCTTGTTCCCCAATCCCTCCATTAAGATGATTACTATTATACTTTCTTTAATCTGAGGACTAAAAAGGGGGGAAAAGAATAGCAACAATAGATTACATATTTCCCTACTTAAAATAATCCTGCCTAATTTGATTTTTAAATATTGGTCAATAAATGTCTACCACTAGATGCAGAATTTGTTTTTTAAATGATAGGTAAAGTTGATATTAAAATATTAAAAATAAGGAATTAAAAAATTTAAAGTTTTTTACTTAGTAACAACAGTAGTTTCACAGGCAGTAGTTTACTATATAATTGATGTGTTAATTTGTCATGTTCTGGCATTAAATGGGTGAGTACCCACCCATCCACCCCCTTCAGCCACTAGCAGATTTCTATCATTGAAGGGATGGCTCTTTACTCATAATCTGATCATTTAATGGCTCAAACGAATGTGACTATTGCATTTAATCACAGTGTCTTAAGTAAAAAAATACAGCAAGCTCATCTAATTGCTCTTAAACTGCTTTCCAAGAATTAAATGATTCAAGAGGCAGGGGCTGTTCCTGTATCTCACCTTCCAACAGAAGCCTGTGCCACCATTCTTAAGGGGACATTCCAAAGGATCTTCATCACATGCACTCCTGCCAACAACGTTTTTGTGATCTACCTACCTACTGTGGGGCTGAAAAACGATGGGAAAAAGCAAAAACTACAGACAAGTAGTGAAGTTAAAGGGAAACTTAAAGCTGCCTGGGTGATTCTGAGAAGACCGGGGGGGGGGTCAGAACCATTGCCTTGAGGCTGTTGTCTGGGCGGGCGAAGTGCTTGTTTGCGGTTCACTCCCCACGGTCCCAAACACAATTCTGGACAGAAGGTAAAGCAGAGCTTCACATAAATACAAAGGCAGGGATGGACCAGGAAATTATTTTAAGGTACCTTTAAATAGAAATTGAGTCCCAGAGGCAGAAAAGGCTCTAAACAGTACTGACGTATTTGAAACATGGAGGTCAAAACCTCAGTGACAGCAAAAGGTTTTGTGTGTACTTGTGTCTGAGATGAGACCATTTTAAGAGAATTCTGTGACTTAAATTTCTCCTTGAGCTTAAAACTAGCTTAATTTTGATACCAAAACTAAGTTTGAATAACCAATACATAAAGCAGAACTGGCTTTTTTTTTTTTTTTCTCTCAAAACAGAATTCTAAAACAATAAGGGATGCGGGTAACAGAAAAAGTCAAAACAACAGAAGTTCATGAATTTAAAGGATGGATGCCCACTTCTCTCTCTCAAGAGGCAGATGGTCAGCTGAAAAATAAAAACATTGTATCAATAGAACACACCAAATAAAAAAAGATGCAGCCATCTCTGTTCATGCAATACCAAAATTAAGAAAACCAAACCATCCCAAACTCCAAAACCACCCATAAAAATAACAAAAGGAAGAAAAATGTTGCCCAAATCTCATGGCCTGCTCTATGGCTGAGAGGGTCCTAATGGGGTTGTTCAGAATGTCATTCATGGGGCAGAGGAGTGGAGTTGACATGAGGTCAAGTTTGTGGACCCTGCAGGTGGGGCCACCTCAGGTCAGGGCACTTGCTGTGAATTCTTGGACAGCAGCGTCAAGAACCTGACCGCTAAGCAAGAGGGTCCCAACACAGGGCTGCCTTGGGTGTTGGCCCCAGTTCGTTTCACTCGATTTCCTTGTGAATAGTATAGCTTTTTGGTAGTGATAAGTCACTTCAGTAACCACTCCGGGTAGTGGCTTGTAAACAGACATTGTCAAATACAAACAACAGTGAGATGGTCAACCCAGACTTGAGAAGGAGGCGATGGCGGAAATGAGGTAACTCTTCCCCAACACGTGTGAACAGACAGCTCCTGCTCTTCTAATGCTCTATGTCCATTAGGAGAGAGTAGGGCTTGTCAACAGGATGGTTACATAAAGAAGAAGCTACAGAAGAGAAAAAAGAAAGTTCAGATTCAAATGTGGTTCATAAAGGCTTAAACATGAGTGTCTCTTGTATTGGGAAAGGACAGCAGTCAGTCAAAGGGATGACTTTCCTAACAGGTGTGAGTGCAGCAGGGCCGGCAGCAAGGGCCAGGCAGGAAGGGGTGCCTCCGCTGGGCCTGGGCAGTGGGCACCGGGGGACACTGGCCAGGACAGAAGGGCCTGGAATGGGGGAGAAAGTGCAGAGATGGCATGTGAAGAACAGGACAGACACCAGGCAATATCTTGGCGAAGTGGGTGCTGCCCACCAGACCAGGCAGGGAAGCCGGGGCCTCTCCCGTTTCCTTCCCCCGTGGGTGCACATGTATATCCGACAGGGACTAAAGAACTCACAAAAGGGCACACAATGTTTGGGTAAAAATATATTTCCCCCCACGTTGTGTGTTGGCACTAGTGATATATGCATAGATTACCTGGCCACCCGCTCCTACCGTAACAGACACCACATTACTAAGCATGTTTGCTAAGTGATTACCTTCATACTTGAAAAACTGATATGCTTCACATCAATACAATTATTTTAGTTAAAAAAAAAAAAAGGCTAACATGCAGCTTACATAGATGACAATTTTGCATTAACACTGAAAGTAGATTACACAACAGTTTTAGAAACACACTGGTTATTTTCCAATAACAAAATGACAACGATCCACTACATTTTAAGGCATATCAGCATATTTCAAAATTAAGAAATAGACAAAGTTCTAATGCTGTTCACAGCTTAATTTTCAATTTATTAAAAAAAAAAAAAAACAACCTTCATACCTACATACAATCTAGACTTTGTAGGTCATAATTTCCACTCAAGAGTCATACATACATATTCTGTTAATGGAACCAAGACTTGAAAGCGGAGACTTGACAGTTTCAAACGCTTGCAAATGAAAGAGCAGCTGGTCTGAATGGACAGTTTTGGCAGGACCACACAGAGACAGTATGACAAGGGTGGTAACAGCTGAAAAACCTGATCACACTGTGTGTGAAACACATGGATGTGTCAAGGAAGCGAGGAAACCAAGCCTGTTTGAGGTGCACAGATGTGAAGACTATTTTTATTGCTGGTGAGAATACAAAGCAGAGGAGGAAGATAAGTAGCCTGTGCCCAGCCTTATGTTAAATGCCCCCAGTCGGGAGGTGCCCTTTCTGGACAGAACCCTGACCAATGAATAAAGAGCTGAAGCAGGAAACAGTCTGACCTCCCAAAAATTCTCACAAAAGTTTTCCCACCACATCCTACTGCAGGCACAACTGCTCCGGAACCTAAAGTCCAGGAGAGGCACAAGGTTGGCCATTATGGTTGAGCACAAGATGTGGCTGGAGCCGGCTGACTTAAAAAATAGAGGTGACCACTGCCAACAGTTAGCAGGAGGGCCAGGCCATTCAAACAAGATCACAAAAAATTAAACAGCAATAGAGGCAGCCTAACATAAGCAATGTTTCCTCTCAATTTTCATCAGTGGGAGGTGGCAGTTTCTCATTCTAACTGTATTTACATTGAACCAAGTGCCCTCTGTAATACCTGCTGACGCCACAGTGCTGGGGGGGGCGGAGGGGGGGGTAGTGAGTTCTGACTTCCACATTGATATCAAAGGAAAATTGAATTTATGTGTTTTTGTGAAAAAGATATAAAATTGTCCATTTTAAATATAGTGCGTGTTTCTTTTAAACCAAAAGCTTCTCAAACCATTACCTCCCTTTCCCCCTCTGAAAAGAAAAAGAAAAAAAAAAAATCCACCTATCCCATATGTTTCTCTAATTTTAAAGTCAAAAATCTCAAATGTTTCTTACTGCCGTACTTACATGCAAAGGCGAAAGCACATCCAATTAGATTGGAGGGTATCATTTACTCCGTGCAGAGCCAAGGACTACTGTGAAAAAAGGCACAGATACAGAAAGAAGGACAGCAATAACAAGCTAAACAGGGCCAGGGAGCAGGTAGGAGAAAGTTCAGAAGCAACGCATTTTTAAAAAGCTTCTATAGTTTATTTCTATAGTCTATTTCTTCTGTCTGGTTTTTTATTCTCTGACTCTCCACAGGATTTATCTTACTGTAAAAAATTTAACAGGGGGGAAAAAAATCAATACTCTTGGAATCAAAGTCAGCCTGGTGCCTTTCAAGGCTAGGCTTGCCTTAAAGTGATGCATTTTGAGAATTTGGAAGTGTATTTTCCATTACAAAGCACGAAAATGCTCACACAAGCAGCCGTAGGGACAAGCATACAACACAAGGATTCAAGCTTTTGTCTGATGCAAGCAAATGAGCGAATTCAGCCTATGGTTAGAATCAGCAAGCCATCCGACAGCCGCTGCTCCACAGCCAGCATCACACTAAAATCATTAAAAAAAAAAAAAAAGGACGAAACGTTGGCCCAGTAACACTGAAACTTGTCTCAGTACCACTAATGCTGCTCCTAGTTTGTAGTTTCTGTCCCTACTTAGTGCTTCAATGAAACCGATTTCTTAACTTGTTCTAATTAAGCCAAATCAAGTTCACAGAAGACGATTCCTTTCCCTTACGAGTATGGTTGAGGACCAAGAGAAGGGGAAAATAATTTTTACTGGAATCAGACTTAATAGTGTGTGTGTCAGGGAAGGGGCAGTGTATTCTATGCTTTTTATGTAGGACTAGTAAGTCCAGAAGGAAATAAAGCATCGGGTTCATGAGAAATGCACTCTTTAATGTAAGAAACAGGAGACTATAGAGTTAGAGGGAAAGCTGGTAGGATCTTGGTATCTTGTTATTAGAAAGGTGGTGGTGGTGGGGGCAGGGAGAATCAAGACAAAAGGATAAGCCTTAGAAAGGAACAGAATGGAAAAGAGGTTACATATGCCATTTCCATACAACAATGGGGGTAGCCTATGTCATGGCATACGGGGTTAGTCCTAGCCTTCACTGACTGGCATAAAGAGGGAGGTGAGCTAGTTGTGACGGGAAAGGTGAGGAAATTCCTTCAAGACAACTGGATTTGAAAGACCAGCTGTAACACTTTTCTTCCCTTTATTGCCAAACAGCAAAAGGACCCTATGCAAGGAGATGGGAGGCTAAGTTGAATTTCTTTGACTTGAGGGTTTGTGTTATGTTCCTTCCCATTTCTACCTGACATGGACATGTCACCCTCAGATTTGTGCTGCAGATGGTACACAATTTACAACACACTTTTTATTTGAAGGATTTCTGAAAAATTTCTTCCCATGATTATTGAAGAATGTTATTGGAGGTACCGAATCCCTGGCATCAGTCGTTAGATCTTCCTCTCCACCCACTGGGGGCAGATTTCGGTGTTTGTGGAAGACAGCAATTCTGAGGAGTAAGGAGGCTGTGGCAAGCTCACTATCCTTAGTAGCTTCTTCTAAGCAATGCTCTTGAGACTGCCGAGTATGAAACTATGATTGTGTTCACTTTTATCAATGTAGCCTTGACCCGTTTACAGTTCAACTTGGCCAGAATTTGAGAGACGGGGTTCAGACACATTTTTAAAGCCATAAGTAGAGACGGTCAGTCTGAACAGACCCACAACCCAGACCAAATAATGTTGTTATAATAATGAGCAATCCATGCAAGTTTAAAAGTTGCACACAGCTTACCCACCGGCCTGCCTACGTGCAAAGCTATCTTGGGTTTGGGGTGGGTGTGGAGAAGAGCCAGAGCGAATTCAGGGCTTTCGCCATCATGAATCATTAAGAACAGCAAGTTGTCATGGATGTTCAGGTTTAGGGTTCAGCTGCTGAGGAGGTGAGTTTTCCTGTCAGGCGAACGTGTAGCAATGTACCCTCCTTCCCTCTGTCCAAAGCAATGCACAGGCAGCAGGCATGCTTCCTGCCGCCACTCAGAACAGGCACGAAAGGCAACTCATGTACTTCCAGAGGCCAGTCCAGCTGCACAGAGCTTTTGCTGTCATTCCCTTGCTCTATCACTTTCCAGCACCCAACAACATTCAGCAAAATGAGTTAAGAGTTATTGGTATCTGGGGGAAGGTAAAAAAAAAAAAAAAAAAAAAAGACACAGATGGCAGCGATACAATATTACTGCAAAAGCAGGTGAATGCGGGACCATCCTTGGCTTGCCAGGCTTTATGTGAAGCTTGCACTGCAAGTTAAAAAACAAAACAAAAAAAGTTAGAAATAACAACAAAAAAGAAAAGGGAAATTAGGAGCGCCAGCACCAGCGTTTGGTGATGGTGAATGCTCATGCAATGATTATGGAACTGACAGAAACTGAAACCAAAAATCTGAATAAGCTCTTCTACACGACAAGCAAAAGCAACACTTTGGTACCGAATTAAAGAACACGTGGTTAGTTTCCACCTGCACGTGATTTGGAATTCACAGGTGGCTCCGTGAAACCACTGCATGTTCTAATGGGAGGATTTACGGTTCTCTTTTCATTTTGTCCAATAACACAAAACCATTATCTACTGTGTTAGGTTTGGGTATCACCTTTGTACTAAAGAGGAGTTGCCTCTTCCATTTCTGAGCTCCTGGAGTAAGAGAATAAATATGCTATAAATGACTCTGAATAATTGGGGGTTGCGATACGGTGGATGGAGGGCATGCTATTAATCCACTGGGGAAGGAAACGAGGAGGGACAATCATCATGTGGTCACAGCCAGAGCAATGCCAGGAGCCTTCCCCTCTTACAGGTTCAAGGCAGTGCCAAGTCCCAGATCCACACGTCTCACTGGAGGCAAGCCCAAACCATGCAACGTCATTCCTTAGCAAGGATCAATAAAAAAATAAAAAGTGAGTGGATGATTGTATAAACTGAGAGTTACCCGATGCCAGCCAGGTACAGTTTTAAAATGATAAATTTTAAAACTTATTTTGAATGTACCGTAGCCAGCCGATGGCTGCCGGCCGCTGTGCAGACGTCTCAGAGAAGATGAACCCTGTCCGCTGGACCACTTACCGTCGGCAGTCCCCCCTCTGTGGGGTGGCCGCAGCCAAGGACAGGGACTTGGTGGCCAGAGATGGCGGGAGGTGGGGTCCAGCTAATGGCAGTGCCAGGGTTAGTTCTACTTTGTCTGTAAATCTTAGGAAATGTTATCTGATCTCATGCCACTACAGGTCAAGGAGAAGGATAAAGCCTTACCTACGTTAGAAAGGGAGCGCGTCATTAAAATAGAAAGAAAGAAAAAAAAGAATATAGAACTATTAGAAACACTGAGTCAGGCTCTGAGGTGGGAACATGGCAGGTGGGTAACTAAGCATCTCTTTCGTGGCTCTCTCCCTGGAGCAAGGCCAGCGCCAAGGGGCTGCACGGGGACTCCAGCCTCTCTCGTGGCAGTGAAGGGAGGAAAGAGTCCTCCATTTATCTTAGTGCTGCTCTGGGCACCCTGGCTACTGTCTGTCTGTGGTCCTCCCTCCTCAGCACTCTCCACTGGCAGTCGGGGGAATGGTGCGTCTTTTGTTTTTATTTTGTTTAATTTTAGACGTCAAAACTGCTCAACGGGCCAAGTGTGGACAAGGGTGGAAACCTAGACGTTTCCGAAAAATACGTGCCGTTGTCAGGCACAAAACCTGGTGATTCCTGTGCCCCAAATGAAGCCCGATTCCACAAATACTACATGGGAATCTGTAATAAGGCTAACGTAGAATTCACACATACTTCACACATGTATGCACATGGCACATAGGCACATGGAGAGCATCAGACATCGCTCAGGTCCAGGGATAGGAAGAAAATAATCTGCCATGCTGAGCAGGGCGAGGAAAAGCTTCTCTATGCTGGGAAGTCTGTTACGGGATAGATTTTTTTTTTTTTTAATACCCATCAGCTCTTGGAATTTTTATTGCTTGAAGGCACATCCAGTAAATGTGAAATATCCTTAGAACATTGCTGGTCTTTTATAAACACTTTTAGTTCTAAAATATATACCTTTACATACATGAGTGCTTCAGGATAAGAAAGACTTAGCTTTGGGTTTCCTAAGCTGTGAGTCAGCAGCTTTCCCTGTTTCATTCATGCCTATAGACACACACACACACACACACACATTCACCCCTATACCTCTCTGTCTCGGGTGAATGGATCCACAAAGGTCTGCTGTCAGATGGCTTTCCGTTTGTCTCCACCACCACAGCTGCTGAGCTGGCTCTGCCCGGGAAATGTCACCGCCAGGGGCCGACGCCCTGTGGTGTGTGTAGCTACAAAGAGCCTCCCTGAGCTAGATTATGTTCGAGGCCATCGTTAGCCAGAACTCATCTAGCATAACTGAGTTTTCGGCCCTTGGCATCCTCTCATCACTTGGGTCTGCACCAACCCCGTTAAAACCACACCTCCCTTCCCTACACTGACGCCTGCCCCTTGCCCTCCGCACGCACTCTCCGCTGCCTCCGAGCCTGTCCAGTGTGCAGAGGACAGCGTAAAGCACCCTCCGTGGGTCACGAGAGCAGCGTGTTTCAATTTCCACCACAGGCTTCGTGACACGATTCCTCAAGGGAAGTCTGTTCACCAAGACACGGTGGTGACCAGCCAGTCCCTAGGGCAGGTCTCAGTTCCTGTGCAGACTCAATCCTGTCTTCCACATTTAAAAAGAGGTCTTTGCCCGCTCGAGTGCCACCACTTTTATGGTTTACTTGTCAGCTTCTCCCCTAGAATGCTAGGGAGTCAGGATGGAGAGCAAGAACCCCAAGCACATTCCGAGTGGTCCTAGTGCTGCCCTGTGGTGTGTGTAGCTACAAAGGGCAGCGTCCGGGTGGCCATCCAGCCGCACACAGCTCTTCCAGGCCCCTCACTGACCCCAAGCCTCCCGTCAAACCAGCAGCTAATGCCTTAAACTGCACTGCCTGGTCTTTAAGGGATTTGACATGAACTTCAAATCACCGGAGAATGACAAGGCAGGCCCCGAGCTCCAGTGGCTCCGGGAGCTGCCACTGGAGCATCATGGGAAGTGACCAACACGAGAGCAGGCTCTGACCCTTTGGCTCATTAAACCAAAGCCACGTTTAAAAATGTTTTTTCTGTGCGTGGGTACAGGCGTGTCTTGAGGGTTGTTGCGGGTGGTCTTAACTGGCTGGGATTGTGACCCCATTTCTGCAGTAAAACAACTTATCATCTTGTTGAATTTAGAGGAAAACTAGTGGCCACTAGCAGTTCTTCCAAATCTTTCCTTTGGGGATCAATGACCGGCTTATCAAGTCTAACCATGCGGACTAGAAAAATAGCTGTAACCATCGTAACTTTGGGATGCTCCTTACAGGGAGTCACGTGGACCGTCTCCGAAGGGTCGTGAAAGAAATAAAACGTCTTCCCCAAAGTCCTAGTGTTGGTGCAGAAGACGAGACTGGAGACAAAAGTGAGTCCAGTCCTGACTGCTTGGCCATGTGGCCAAGCCTCGTAAAGCAATGTTTGTGTACCCTTCAGAAATACTTTAAAAACCTGTGTCTTCTTCCCTGCACTGTAGAGAAAACAATTGCTTGGATCTTCCTGGTAACAGACCAGTTTCCAGTCTGGAAATGGGGAAAGTGGAGGCATGCAAGAGGAATGAACGGTTAAAGGGCCCCGGCACAGGGAGGGACACCTGCTTACTTTTTCTTATCCTTGTCTTTCTTGGTCTGCTGGGCCCCAGACTGCTGGGCCTGGGTCTGCAGCAGCTGGGCAGCCGCCTTCTTCTTCTGGAAGTTGTTCACCTCCTCCTCCAGCTCCTTCTTCTTGTCTTCCACCTTCTTCTTCTCTTCTTGGTGTGTCCGCTTCAGGAGGTCGAACTTCTCGTGGAGCTGGAGGGGGCAGGACAAGCGTGGTGAAGGGAGTAGCAAGCAGACCGGAGTGAAGTGACTCGGACCCGCTCAGAACAAGGCCTGTGCCACGTTCCTGTTTATGCTCTCACTACAGAAGCACAGCGGCGGCCGGAGCTCGGGGAAGAGCCATGTGGAGGCAGGAAGGCACCCCGTGGAGCCCTGTTCTCCTTTGACACACAGACCCTGTGGAGCTAAAGGGGACGCTTGCACACTTCTATGTGACTGTGCCTGCAGAACGACCAGAACGACCGGCCGCTATGATGTGCACTGACCACCGGGGGGCAGATGCTCAACACAGGAGCTGCCCCCTGGTGGTCAGTGCGCTCCCAAAGGCGAGCGCAGCTCAGTCACAGCCGGGTACATGGCTGGTGAGCACAGTAGTGGTGGTGGGAGCTTCTCCTGTCTCCGTGGCAGCGAGCTGAGCGGTAAGGAGCAGTGAACAGGTGGGCGATAAGGAGCAAGGGGTCCGAACTACGGGAGGGTTGTCTAACTATCAGCTTAGGCCCATCCCCATGGGAGCAGGCCTAAGCTGGGAGGTGCACATCCCCTCAGGGGCCGTGGACTACAAGAGACTACCCGCCAGGCTGAGGGGATCCCCTCCCCGCCAGTGCATGCATTTCGTGCACTGGGCCTCTATTTATTATAAAGAGCATAAGGGAGAAAAATTATCTATGCTCCTAATAAGAAACTCAACCCTAGTGGGAAGAGTAGTTCTTAATTTCTAAGGTTCAGTTGTCTTCTTTTTAAAATATATTTTTATTGATTTCAGAGAAAGAGAGAGGGAGGGAGAGGCAGAAACATCAATGATGAGAGAGAATCATTGATTGGCTAACTCCTGGCCCTGGGGATCGGGCCCACAACCCAATCATGTGCCCTTGACCGGAATCAAACCTGGGGCTCTCCAGACCGCAGGGTGACATGCTATCCACTGAGCCAAACCATCTAGGACTCTTAAGTTTCAGTTGTCTTTATCAGGATCAATTAAAAGGGGGAAATTAAACAGTTTTATTTGTCAATGTATTGCTCTATCAGCCAAGCACTTGAGATACTCATGGGGGCAAACATATTTCTGTCTCTTTCTCTCTCTCAATAGGATGAGTGTCCTCTCTCTCTCTCATTCTCCCTCTGGGATGAGTGTTATTGCAGAAATCCATGGGAGCTTCTAGGAAGCAGTTCATTGGCCTGGTCCTGGGAAGGAGATAAGTCAAAGGGATGTTGGAGTAGAGAGCTCATGCCCACAAAGGGAAGTGTGACCGGAGGTACGGTGGCAAGCATGTCAAACTCGTGGCCGGTGGGCCACATGCCTCGAGTTCGACATAGTTGGTATATAGAGACCATCACCTATCAGTGCTGAAGAGCCATCCACTGTTTAGCTAACTGAATTGACTGATAGAATAAACATAATAATAACAACCACAGAATCTGAAATCTCTTATTTCAAGATGTGTAGACAGAGGAAATACAGAGGTACAAAGAAAATGGGACCAGGTCTGGAGACCTAAGATCGAGTTTTAGTTTCAGCTTTGCTATAAACTAGGTGTATGACTGCATAAATTGCTTAACCTTTATAACTCAGTTTTATCATCTGTAAAATGGGGATGAGAATATCTCGCCTGCTTTTCTCGCTAGGATAGTATGCCATGCAAGTGATAAAATGTTTGTAGAAGGTATTAATACTTAACATAAAGGATTAATAAAACACCTTGCTTATTTCTCTCCCTTGAAAAAGGACAGGTAGATGGCTTACCTCTTTCTCTGCCTCTTTAAGCTCAGCTTCTTTCTCCTTCACTCTCATAACAAACATTTGTCTCATTTCTTCTTCTTTCTTCTGAAGTTCTCCCAGAAATTCATTCCTTTTCGCTTCGTATGTCTCCTGAAGACTATTCAAAAGAACAAACAGGGACAATGTCATAAAATTGCATAAGAAACTTCAGTTCATAGAGTTTCTACCCACCGTATTCCAAAAATTAGAAAAGGCTGCACTGACCATGTCAAAGACATGGAAAAGGGCACATCTTCTCTCTAGCGGTGATCAGAAAGACAAGTGCATCAAGAACAAGGATGAGCCCATAGGAAGTATCTAGTGGTAGCACAGGGCAGAACTAGTAGGCTATCTCCCACTGGCCAAGTTTTACCCCACCTGTTCATACATAGAAAGCCTGGGCTGGGCTGGCTGGTATCTTCCAGATCAGCACACCAGGCAGATCCCGAAGACATGATTAAGACTTTTCGGAGAGAGAGAGAAATGTGTAGGGAGAGAAATGCATGGGGACTAGGGCCAGACAGATCAAGGCTTGGATTCTGACTAAAGCGTGGGACTGGCAATTCTAGGGAAGGGCACAGCCTCTGAGCCTCAGTGTAGAAGATGTGGGTGGAGGAAGCAGGACTTACCTTCCGGGGATAAGATTCTGGGAATGAATGGGGGCAAAGTGACTAAAGCACTCAGTGCTTAACGAATATTACCCTCCCCCCTCATTTTCCTCCGTCCCCAGTTTAGAAAACAGACTCAGCGAACCATCTCAAGAGCCACTAGGACACCTAAAGACCTTTCACAAAATTATTACTTTTAAAGTTGAATTACCAATCACAATAGAGCAGGGAGGAGTCCTATTTTTATTTTAAACCATATCCTCCCCCTGACGGTCTCCCCCAGAACATGGAGCCCAATAGTTTAAATCGAATGCCATGCCTCAGCTTGATCACTAAGTCAGAACAAACATATTTATGGAAATATTACCTTCGGTAACACAGCTTAAAAAATCCCACACTCACACCCGTACAAACAGAGAAGCATTTGCTGGCGTTTTATAAGGTGCTATTGCTACGTCTCCCTAGTTTCCAAAATGCCTCTATAGTAAATCCAAAAAAACCCCCACCACCCTAGGGCAGCTCAGATCTGGGGGAATGGAGTCTGCCGCCCGCACACAGGCTGCCGCAGGCACTGTGGCCAGCCGGCTCTCAGGTATCAGAGTCTGAGTGACAGTCGCCACAAAAGAGGAGGAAGATAGTCTTTCCTGAGGACCTCTGCCACACCCGCCTCTCCCGTCAGTAAAGACACCGAGCCCAGATACACGGCACATCCACATGAAGGAAGTGTGAGGGCTCAGTGTGGACAAAGCAATCCTTTTCTGCGAGCCTGGCGTGGCAGCCTCCCCCTCTCCACCCCTTCCTCTGACACTTCACCAGGCCTGGCACCCTCCCCGGGAGGCCCCTCTCCATGTGGCTCTGACAAGGCGTGGGCCTTTGCTAAGCCACTAATTACACATTAATTTCCATATTTCCCCCTTCACATGTTGCCTCTTCATCTCCATCCATCAAATTTGTAGACTGTAAGCCATTTTCTATCAGCTATCCCCTTTCCTACTCATTTGTTGTCAGAACTGCATCAAACCACCAGAAGCTAGTGGAGCACTTCTGAAAGAGCAAGCCTTGGGAAGTCACACCGATCTGGCACAAATGAATGAGGCAGACGGAAGGCGCAGCGGCGCCTTTGTAAATGCCTGGGCCAAGCTCTGTGCCTCCGTGAGTAATGATGAAGAGCATGGGTTCAAAACTTCCCCTCTTGCCAAAACCGGTTTGGTTCAGTAGATAGAGCGTCGGACTGTGGACTGAGGAGTCCCAGGTTCGATTCCAGTCAAGGGCATGTACCTTGGTTGCAGACACATACCCAGTAGGGGATGTGCAAGAGGCAGCTGATCGATGTTTCTCTCTCATCGATGTTTCTAGCTCTCTATCCCTCTCTCTTCCTCTCCGTAAAACCTCAATAAAATATATTTTAAAAATAGACAAAAAAACTCCCCCTACCCCTGTCCCTTCCTATTGTAGGACCTCGAGCTGGTGGTTTACACTCCAGCACCTTAGCTTCCTCCTCTGTAAGCAAGGATGATGACAATGACATCAATCACACCTCTGGAAGACAATCCCGATAAAGTGGTTGTCACCGCGCCTGGCAACAGATTACTTGCCCACCAGGTGCTTTCCTCAGACAGTTCACTCCGACAAGCACTCTCGCGACTCACCACGCCCACCTTCCCCACTGTCCCGGAACCCCAGACTGCCCAGGGGCCGCATACCTGAAGGGCTTGCTGTCGGGGTCCGTGTCCTTGAACCCCATCTCCTCGAGCTTACAGCGCCGGTACAACTCGTAGTGGCGGGTGTGAGTCTGTTCTCGCAAGTCTTCCATGTTCACGCGGATCAGCATCTCCCGCAGCTTCACAAAATCACAGTGGTTTTCATTCTCCACTGCAAGAGATGGGGGAGGGAGGCGGAGGGCGGGGCTGCTGTCAGTCACCGAAAATCAGAGGGGACGGTTCCAAGATATTGTCACCACCACTCCTGAAATCGCTCAAAGCCACCGGAGGATGCTCTCCTGGATCCACCTCCCTTCCCAACGAAGACCACGTTTCTGACTTTGACCAGAATATTGGCGACAGGAGTGACTGCCAGGTGCCTGCCCAGAGCCGGGCACGGTGGGAGGAGACAGACAAATACTGTCTTTACTCTTCCTAATGACTCCTGCTTTGCAGACACAGAAGCATGGATTAGCTCACACAGAGGAAGCAGAGTCTACATTCAAACACCATGACGTCTGGTATCAGAGACAGGCCTACCCCGGCAGGTGTGGCTCAGTGGTCGAGCATCCACATATGAATCAAAAGGTCATGGTTCGATTGCCAGTCAGGGCACATGCTTGCATTGCCAGCTAGATTCCCAGCAGAGGATGTGCAGGAGACAACAGATCAATGATGCTCTATATCACTGATATTTTTCTTTTTTTAAAAAAATATATATTTTATTGATTTTTTACAGAGAGGAAGGGAGAGGAATAGAGAGCTAGAAACATCGATGAGAGAGAAGCATTGATTAGCTGCCTCCTACACACCTCCTACTGGGGATGTGCCCGCAACCAAGGCACATGCCCTTGACTGGAATCGAACCTGGGACATTCCAGTCCGCAGGCCGACACTCTATCCACTGAGCCAAACCAGTTTCGGCCGTCACTGATATTTCTATCTTTCTTTCCCTTCCTCTCTGAAATCAATAAAAATCTATATATAGAAAAGCCTACATGACTGAATGGTTGCTATGACCCACACTGACCACCAGGGGGCAGGCACTCAATGCAGGAGGTGCCCCCTGGTAGTCAGTGAGCTCCCGCAGCTAGCCTCCCATGGCTGGCCAACCTCTGATGGTCCCTCCCCTGCACTGGCCTGCCCTGAATGGGACTAGGTGATACCGCCCTGGATCGCCTGCCAGGCCGAGGGATTCCCCACCTGTGCATGAATTTGTGCACTGGGCCTCTAATATATAATAAAAGAAAAAGACAGGCCTATTTCTTCCTGCTGTCTGGAGCTGGACAAGGATTTTTTTATATACCATCTCCTTTAATTTATCAATAACACTATGAAGAAAATTTTCTCGTGGTAGAGTAATTGGTGAGATTCATAAAAATTATAATTTTCCTAGGATCTCAAAGGCACTGTTTCTTCTCACAGACTATTGCCTTTATTCTGAACAAAGGAAAAGGAGGATGCACAGATCTCAAACCAATGAAGACCTTTCTGGAGCCATCGTGCTAATCTACAGCGTCGGACACCCGGTCAGAACACTCGGCAAGGGCAGGTGACACAGTCCTTGCCCATCAAGGTGGCGTCTGGGAAGCTCCTTCAGGTTAGAGACTGTGGTCATGGTTCCCAGCGCCAAATATAGGTCAGACATCCTCTTAATTCTCAGATATTTACTGAGATAACATTTATTATTTTTCAAAATAAATTTTATTGATTTCAGAGAGGAAGGGAGAGGAAAAGAGATAGAAACATCGATGAGAGAGAATCATTGATCAGCTGTCTCCTCCATGCCCCACATGGGGGATCGAGCCTACAACCGAGGGATGTGCTCTGACAGGGACTCGAATCATGACCTCCAGGATCATAGGTCGACGCTCAACCCCTGAGCCATGGCTGCTGGGCCTGAAATAACATTTAATTGGAGGACAATGTTCTCAGAGATGAACGAGTAGGGAGAGATAAGTATTCTCTTGTTTGCAAGAAACTCTTTGCAGCTTCTTATACTTTACTGATGATAATGGTTCAGACTCCTAGGGAAGAACTCCCCTATCAGGAATTTATACTGAATTTCCCACACGCCATTTTTTTAGGGGCCGCCTCATTGGCAGTAGGGCTTTGCAGCCACTTCTCTCCCTTGTCACCATCGTCCTACCTGGTCCCTGTTTCTTTCTCACCTCCACGACTGCCAGGTGTATAACCCTGCCGCTCCCTTCCACCTGCCCAGGTTAAGGAGCCCCTCAAACACGGTGGGGAGGGAGGAACGTGGTCAGTCACCACGGGTTAAATGTGAAGAATCCCTTCCCTGCCGCGCACATACCCTGCACCACGCCCCACGGGTACTGCCTGGCCTTGGCCATCTTGTTGCCGATCTTCACCTCTTCGGTGCTGCCGACCACGGCAAATGGCAGGTGGACCTGCCAACAACACAAGGATGGAGAGTACAATGAGTCCTCTTGGAAGCTGCAACCTTAAGTGAAACGACCATAAAAAGAGGTAGTTTTATTAGAGTCTAATTGACATCAACAAGAGTTAAGTTCCTATGGCATATTGCTGGTCACAAAAACATCACCGAAATTATAAAGACCCATATACTTCTGCACATGGGAATGCATGTGAGCTACACATACAGTGAAGGAAGACTAATAAGAACAAGTAAGATCACTATTTCCCAACATGCTGGCCAGGGCCTCTCCCGGAAGCTCAGAGCACCAGGGGGACCCTCCCTGAACAGGACACCGCTCTTCCACCACAGGGCCCTCGCACTCGTACCCACACCCACTCCCACTCCCACTCCCACCCCCACCCCCATGCTCACACTCACACCCACACCCACACTCACACTAACACCCACTCCCACCCCCACGCTCACACTCACACCTACACCCACACCAACACTCACACCCACACCCACTCCCACCCCCATGCTCACACTCACACCCACACCCACACTCACACCCACACTCACACCCACTCCCACACCCACCCCCACGCTCACACTCACACTCACACCCACACCCACCGCCACACCCACACTCACACCCACTCCCACACCCACCCCCATGCTCACACTCACACCCACACCCACACTCACACCCACCCCCACCCCCATGCTCACACTCACACCCACTGCCACACTCACACCCACACCCACACTCACACCCACACCCACCGCCACACCCACTCCCACACACACCCACACCCACTCCCACACCCACCCCCACACTCACACTCACACTCACACCCACACCCACACTCACACTCATACCCACACTAACACTCACACCCACACTTGAACTGGGACAATTAGATATACATGGTTCATCCAACATGCACATCTCTGGATGTGGGGGAGCACAGAGTATCCAGAGAAAACCCACGCAGATATGGGGAGAATGTGACAACACCACAGGGACAGTGGGCCTGGTCAGGAGACAATTTTTCCTTCACGCATCAAAGTTGCAAGGAAGCACCGGTGAACAAAGTGCCGTTATTCAAGGACCTGCTGCAGTAATCCTCCCCAGCTCCGGCGAAGGCTGGCTTCCCACCTGCCTCTGTACTCTCCCCGCTGCTGCAGGCCTCTGCTCAGGGGCAGAAGCCGAGAGGGTGGGTGTGTGTGTGTGTGTGTGTGTGTGTGTGTGTGTATCCTACCCGTCCACAGCCGAGAGGGTGTGTGTGTGTGTGTGTGTGTGTGTGTGTGTGTGTGTATCCTACCCGTCCACACCCATTCGGGATATTTGATCTGAGCTAGATCCATGGGGAAACTGCCTGGGTCTTTGCAACTACACAGAAAGCTTTAGACACAAGCTGTCCAATACAGTAGCTGCTAATCTATGTGGCCCCTGAGCATTTTGAAATGGGGCTCAAGGAATCCTGAAATGGAATTTCACTTTGCTGCAAACTCAAATCTTCAAAAAAAAAGAAGAACCAGTTTTGTCAATGTGGGTGCAAGTGTTAAGGAAGAATGATCTTTTGGGTATTTATTTTATACTTAAAAAACATTTAAGTTTGTTAGGAGTAACTAGGTGCACCTCCAAGTGGGAATGTTTTATGAATGTCACATGCTCGTTGGATTTCAGACTGACTCTGAGAAAGGGGGAAAGGCAGGAACTAAGTGGGGCAGTGGCTATGTTTCTGCCAACCCTGGCACCAGCGGGCAGAGATCTACTTCCCTCAAGCTGCTCCATGCCAAACGGTGCTGGGCCGGCACCCCCTCCAAGATCCGCTGTGGACATGGTAACTGTGGGGAGGAGATGTGCGATCACCTTGCTGAACGCTCCCATTAGACAGATGGGAAAACTGAGTGGCATAGTGGCTACATGACTTGAACTGGGGGCAGAGCTGGGCCACACTGAAGACATCAAATTCCCAGGGTAGGTCCTAGTGGCTCTACCATGCTGATACGAAGAAAAGCCTCTGGAAAATCACTGCTCGCTCCTTTCTCCCTGGAGGACTTACACTCATTGTCGCGTTGATCTCTGCCACCGTTTCTTCGTCCGTGGGGAACTGGTATATCTGGACTCCATTGCTGACCAGTTCACTCATGATCTTACTCTTGAATTTGTGTAATTCGTTCTTGGCGATGGTGTCAGCTTTTGCAATTATTGGGATGATGTTCACCTATAAAACAGATACAATTCCAACGTAAGAAAAACAGACAAATGAATAAAAGAAAAAAAAGGAAATAGATAAGTGAAAACGTTAAAACTTCACTTAAAGAATAGAACCTCTGACATAGGTGCAAAATTAAGAAGATACAGGATGATTTTTTAGTTCCACCTGCGAACACTCTCACTTCCCCCCTTGGCGCTGGAAGCCTGCTTGCCATTTCCTTCAGCACAGAGTAAAAGGAAGTTACTCTGTGAGAATAGGCGATAACAAAGAAGCCTATCCTTGGAATAACCAGCCACTCCTTTTAGACCCCTCCTGCTCCTTGGGAACCTGATTTTTGCACGTTCATTCCTGGCAGTGTAAAGTTTTCATTCGTTAGAACAGTGGAATAGTCAGCTGTATGCAGGAAACATCCTTTTGTCCTTCTGATAACCTGAGGGGAGCACCTAAGTACTTACCAAAACAAACATGGTTTCGCCTACTTTTAAACTTTTCAAAATCACACCAACCAGTTCTCCAGGCCAGAAGGAGACCTATGCCCGAGGCCGGGCTCACTTTCAGTATCAGTGACCTGGGCCAGGGGATGTGACAGCAGAAAGCCCGGAAGAGAGCCTACTGTCCTGCAGGGCTAGCCCCGGGCCCTGAGGTGCGTCTCCCAGCTTCTGTCAGCGCTGTCCACAGCACACAGTCTTAACAATTCACCTTTAAGATTTACTTTCCTCAGCTCCCTGGTAGGTACCGAGGCTGCTGCTGCCATCCAATACCTGGGACTCCGCTCTCCACCAGCTCAGGTGAAAAGGGACGGGCTCCGTGAAAAGCGTCCTGGCCAGAGGAGAGGCTCTATCTAGGGAGGCTTTCCAGGTCACGTCTGCATTCCTTTGATTCTCCTTTTATCCCAAGAGCCAAATAAAAAAAGCCTTGATAAACCAGAATGAGACAACATGTGGATAGAAAACCCTATCTCATCACGCCTGGGCTTCCCCCAGCAAGTGGCAAAGTGGCAGACTAAACACAGAAACACATCCCTGACCGGTGGGGCGGTGGGGAGGGGGTAGGGGGAAGGAGAGAGAAATGGTGGGACATTGGGATCGGGACCTAAGGAACAGAGACCTCTGGCTCTCACTCGGGCTGGTACACATTGACTATTCAGTTAATATCCACACAGACAATACGTCAGAGGCCACTGGTGTTGGGCCAATAGGATCAGAGTAGATAGACAAACCAGGCAATTTAGACTTCAGATGTCTTTGTCCTCATCCTCAGGGACTTGCAAAGCTTTTCTGAAATTATCCTAGTCTTAGTTGGAATTTGGTAAGACTTTGTATTGAACTCAAAAGGAGGTTTGGATATAAGAGAAAATGCCACAGCTTTGTTCTGTGGTTGTCCTCACTTGCTGCTGATTTATTTCAGAAATCTATTACCTTCCATTTACCTCAAAATGAAAAATTTAATGAACTGAAAAGTAGTTCAGTCCCTTGCAAATCTTTGCAGAAACTACCATACCTAGTTTCAGTTTGACCTTAGCTCTCCACTTGACTTGTATAAACAAACCATTGACAATATGTTTTGTTTTGTTTTGTTTTGTTTTGTTCTTTCAGATGCCCCTTAGTACTAACTACTCCAGTTCTCTGAAAGCAGTTTAACCTGCTTTGTGGTGACTTTTCCTTTGTCAGCTGTTTGTTTTTCCACGTTTTCTTTTCCTCTTAAAATCAACTCTACTGCCGAAGCTGGTTTCCTCAGTGGATAGAGTGTCAGCCTTCGGACTGAAGGAACCTTCCAGGTTCGATTCCGGTCAAGGGCATGTACCTCGGTTGCGGGCACATCCCCAGTAGGGGGTGTGCAAGAGGCAACTGATCGATGTTTCTCTCTCATGGATGTTTCTAACTATCCCTCTCTCTTCCTCTCTGTAAAAAATCAATAAAATATATTTTTAAAAAATTAAAATAAACTCCACTCAACATTATCCTCTTGGATATGAGCATTAACCCTGCCTGGTCTATCCACAGCCTCGGTGAAGCCACCTGCCTCTCGGCTCTTCCCCACCCGCTTTCCAGCTGGACGGCAGGGCACAGCCTCTCTGGGCAGGTCCCCCCACCTCGGTGCAGATGTGAGGAAGGGTTTCTGTTTACCCTCCAGCAGCACTCCAGCTGCAGTCACCCTGCCAGGCTGCTGGGGTGTTCTCCTGTGAACCAGTGCTGGGCGCCTGAGGCGTTGGCCCTGCATCCAGCCACTATAGGCCCCCTGCGGGCTATCCCCCCGGAGCCCCGGGGACAGGCTGCGCTTCCAGCGTTCTCTCTCTGTTATGTCCCCCTGGAGAGAAAGCATCTTCACACAGAGTTGTCTGGGCAAAGATAAAATAAAGTAACACCCAACAAAACCGCCTAAGGATGACAAGACTTTGTATGGAACTCAAGAGGAAGTGAGAATTTAGGAGAAAATACCATAGCTTCGTTTTGTGGTTGTTCTCATCTGCTGCTGATTTATTTCAGAAATCGACTATCTTCCATTTACCTCAAAATGGGAAATTAAATGAACTGAAACGCAGATCAGCTCCTTCCTTCAAATGCTGTGGAAAAGAGAGGTTATCAACGTGGAAAGCTCAGGGGTCAAAATGAAACCAGGACTTGACTTGTTTTCAACTCATGGGTTCAGTCAGCTTCAAAATCTAAGACGGACTGTTATCACATAGATACTAAAACATTAACTTTTTTTTTTCATTCTAAACTTCACATTAAAGCCACACCTTTTAAGAGACTTAGCGAAAGTTTTTAAGGAAACCAAGAAATGGTAAGTTTATGCTTCAATCTTGCTAAATGTAACCCCTCTTGTGACCATTTCCCTGTCTCCACTAAGTAATTTCCCAACTCACCAGACCATACACTGATGCTAATTTAAGAACTAAAAATAGCCCTGGCCAGTGTGGCTCATATGATTGGGTGTTGTCCTGTATACTGGAGGTTGCCGGTTCGACACCTGTTCAGGACACATGCCCAGGTTGCAGGCTCAAAGCCCAGTTAGGGGGCTTGCAGGAGGCAGTCAACAGATGGATGTTTCTCTCTCGTTGATGTTTCTCTTTCTCCTTCTCTCTCTTTCTCTAAAAAACCAAATCAAATCAATCAATAAATAAACTATTTAAAAAATAAGGAAAAAAAACTAAAAATACTTTGTAACAAAGCTACATGGCTTTGTTTTTTTGTTTTCTCCTAACATCCAGAGAAGTTTTGAAGCATTTTTCTCACGTTGCTCAACCCTATGGTTCTATAAACCAGAAAACACAAATTATGGGGTTGGGGGAAGAACAGGCAGAGCATGGGGGTTTTCAGGGCCATAAAACTACGGTGTCTGATACTATAATGATGGATACATGTCATTACACATTTGTTCAAACCCACAGAATGTACACCAAGAGGGAACCTTAATGTAAACTATGGACTTTCAATTGTAACAGATGTACCACTCTGAAGGAGGACGCTGGTAATGGGGGGGTCTGGGCATGGGGCAGGGGACGGGGGTATGTGAGAAATCTCTGTACCTCCCTCTTAATTTTGCTATGAACCCATAACCGTTCTAAAAAACGTGTTTGTTTGTTTGTTTGTTTGTTTACAACAAAACAAAAAACATTTACACTGAAAGCAGAGACTAACGTGGGGCCTTGGAACAAAGGTGAGCAGACAGGAGCGTGGTGGGGAGCAGACGGGCGGTGAGTACCTTACTGTCCAGCTTCTTCATGGTGACCAGGTCCAGGGACTTCAGGGAGTGCCCAGTCGGGGCGATGAAGTAGAGGCACGCGTGAATCCTGGTGTCGTGGTAGTTGAAGAGAGACCGTTTGATCTTCAGTTCCTCCTGTAAGTAGGCCTCAAACTGGGCATCGATGTACTCCACTATGGGCTTGTAGCTGGAATGCAGAAGAACCTTCTCTAAAGCACACTTTCCATCAGCACGCTTCTAGAGAGGCCCCTCCGGCAGTTCAGCGTGGTACAGTGCTCCAGGAATGTCTACGGTTCCCCTGGCCTGAAAGTTAAAGCCCAATCCCCTGCATCCGGGGCCTCCTGTCTGTCTTGGGTCCCACACCATCCCGCTCACTGTTTCTGCCGAGCCACGCACACCAAGCTCTGCCTTCCCGCCTTGGCCCACGCTAGCTCTTCTACCTGGGACAGTCTCCTTCCCATCACAATCCTGCCGACCAGTCATTCTCTGAAACAGAGGATAAACAAGTGTAGCCTGCGGCCGACTCCCCCATGGAACCCCTGAAGAGACTGCTAAGAGGCGGTGGCATTCTTTCCTCTTGGGGCAAATCTGAGCCTGCAAGTCTGTCCCAACAAAGTGATGTTGACGGCCTGCTCCAACAGACTGGCTCTGGTGCACAAACTAAAGCTGGTCTGTGACTTCAGGGTATGGCCTCCTATCGGGAGCCCTGGCCCGGTCCCCTGCCTGCTCCTCCAGAGGTTAGGTGTCCTCTGTGCACATAGAAAGCCCTGTGCACATGCCAGGATTTCAGCTATAAACTGAAATGCCTGGACCACTGTGATCTTCTAGGTCCTTTCCAACTCTAAATGTTATGACTTGAAGATGCATTTTATAACCCTCTGCTCACCAAGTTATAATTCAAATCTCTTCTGGGTGATATGTATGGTTCGATGACCTGACCATACACACACCATTAAAAGCACATCAGGTGGTGCACAGGTCACTGGATAAGCCATAAACTCTCCCGGGTCCCAGGGGACTAGCTGCTCAGGAGAGGTTGGTCAGCAGCAATGAGACCAGCCTACTGGGAATACAAAAGGTTGATTCTCCCCAACTTACTATGCTGCTGAGGAATGATTTAAACTTTAAGAAATATAAAAGTCTTCCAACACTAATCCCCAGGACTATAAATTAACTGAAACCCCTGAAAGGGAACTACAAAATCTTTTAAAATGTAGTTGACATCAGACACCACAAGTGAAAAACAAAAACAAAATAAAAATAAAACAGAGAAACCAAACAAATTTATGACTCAAACCAAAGCCGTCAAATAAAAAGCTTTACGATGACATTTTTCTTAGAAACTTAACACAAAATCCGTGGTTCATTTTAAGCAGGCAAGTCTCTAGAGGCTAAAAAAAAAAAAAAAAAAAAAGTGGAATGTGCCTCAGCAATAAGCACAAGGTTCTCAATCATGGCAAGCAAGATTCCAATGAAAAGGATGAGCAAGGGATAAGTCTTCTATGTTTTTCAATTTTAAAATATAGGCAGGCATTATATAACAATAGTAATCCTCATCTTTATTTCAGGATAGTTTTATAGGATGATGGTTAGAAGCATAGATGCAAGCTAGACCACCTCAGACTACAGTCAGGCTCTACAACTTATAGCTGTGTGACTCTGAGAAAGTTACTAAATCTCCCTGTGTCTTAGTTTCCTCATAGATAAATCCAGGACAAAAATGGTATCTATATGGAAAGCTATTGTGGTAAACAAGTGAGCTAATATATGTAAAGGATGAGCACATAAAGTAAGATATAACTATTTCACTGTCAACTAAGAAATAACAAATAAGAAATAGCACCCTAACCGATTTGGCTCAGTGATGGAGCATAGGCCTGCGGACTCAGGGGTCCCCAGGTTCGATTCCAGTCAGGGGCATGTACCTTGATTGCAGGCACATCCCAGGTAAGAAGGTGTGCAGGAGGCGGCGGATTGATGTTTCTCTCTCATCGATGTTTCTAACTCTATCCCTCTCCCTTCCTCTCTGTAAAAAAATCAATAAAATATATATTAAAAAAAAAAAGAAATAGCATGCCTAACATTTTTATTTATTTTTAATATATTTTATTGATTTTTTTTTACAGAAATGAGGAGAGATAGTTAGAAACATTGATGAGAGAGAAACATCAATCAACTGCCTCTTACACACCCCCTACTGGAGATGTGCCCAAAACCAAGGTATATTCCCTTGACTGGAATCAAACCTGGGACCTTTCAGTCCGCAGGCCCGATGCTCTATCCACTGAGCCAAACCGGTTTCAGCTTGCCTGACATTTTTAAAAGACAAAGGGGAAAAAAAAACCAAGAGAACTTTACCCTCACCTGGTTCCATGGCAACCCCTCTGCCACTGAGCTCATACCGAGTCAGGGAGGGGCCAGGCCCCTCCAATGAAGGCCAGTCTCCTGACACTGAGGCATGTGTTGGTGGAATCAAGACCCTCTCCCAGCACCCTCCCAGCCCCAAGGGGAGGAAAAGCAGCTCACAGCAGCTGTTCCCCAGTTCCTGATTTGCTTCTCAGCACCTCCTCCCCCGCAGTTGTCCAAGCATGTTCTGCTTTCTATTAATTTCCCTTTTAGCCTCTGGTTTGATTCTGATGTTCCGTAATCTTGGAGCATCAGCGGTCTGGTAGGGTTAATTATGCTGATGAAATAGTTCCAGTGGCTTTATCCTCTGGTTCACAAATATTTTTCATGTTAAAAAAAAAAAATGGAGAAAGAGAATCATCAATGATGGGAGAGAATCATTGATTGGCTGCCTCCTGCATGCACCCCTGGAAATTGAGCCCTGACTGGAATCAAACCATGACCTCCTGGTTCATAAGTTGATGCTCTATCACTGAGCCATGCCAGTTAGGCCCATCATCTCTCCATTTCAAGTGAAGAAAGCTTTCTGCCCTAGATTCAATATAGCCGAGGAAATCTATTGTTCTCTTACACCTCAGTCCTCCTCTGACTTCCTATTACGGAGTGCTGGCCAATCTTTCCATCTCCTTCTTTTTCTCTGCATGGTCTCCCTGGAAAGTCACAGCTTTTCCTGTTTCACTTGCCACCCACCCGATGATGATCCACAAATCTCCACTTCCAGCTCCAATCCTTCACCTGAACATCAGACCCATCCATCCGACTGCCTACTAGGTGACTCCAGGTGCTCTCCTAGCGAATGAGTCTAAAACCAAACACTTCATCTTGCCCCCAAGCCCACACTTTCCCACACCCTCAGCACAGCGGATGGCACCTCCCTCCACACCGCTGGTCAAGGCGGAAACCTCGGTTTCCCCTTCCTACCTCCCACACACAAAAGCCCATCTATTTTGTGTATTGATCTAACCCAGTGTTTCCCAAAGTGTGGTACACATACCCCCAGGGGTACGGGAGGAGTTTGGTGGGGGTACGCATTGCACCGGAGTTTGGTGGGGATATGCACTGCACCTAATTCTACGTTCTCATGAGTACGAGGGGTACCCAGCGTTACGAAAATTATAGAAGGGGTACACATTGCCAAAACCGGTTTGGCTCAGTGGTAGAGCGTGGGTCTGCGGACTGAAAGGTCCCAGGTTCGATTCCGGTCAAGGGCATGTACATTGGTTGCGGGCACATCCCCAGTAGGGGGTGTGCAAGAGGCAGCTGGTCGATGTTTCTCTCTCATGGACGTTTCTAGCTCTCTATCTCTCTCTCCTCCTCTCTGTAAAAAATCAATAAAAATATATTTTAAAAAAAAGAAGAAGCCGGGACCGGTTTGGCTCAGTGGATAGAGCGTCGGCCTGGGGACTGAAAGGTCCCGGGTTCGATTCCGGTCAAGGGCATGTACCTTGGTTGCGGGTGCATCCCCAGTGGGGGGTGTGCAGGAGGCAGCTGATTGATGATTCTCTCTCATCGATGTTTCTAACTCTCTATCCCTCTCTCTTCCTCTGTGAAAAATCAATAAAATATATTTAAAAAAAAAAAAAAAAAAAAAAGAAGAAAAAAAAAGAAGGGGTACACATATGTCAAAAGTTTGGGAAACACTGATCTAACCTAGTAAGAAATGTACTCCAGGAGAACTCTTCCCAAATCACTAGTCCTGTGTGGAATATTTAATTATGCTGATGAAATAGTTCCAGTGGCTTGATCCTCTGGTTCACAACCCTTCACACAAATCCTCTGCCCTGTCTCCTCTCCTCTCCACTTCCCTTCCCAGCATTTCAGTGACAAAGACAAGGACGCTGACTCCCTATTTTGCCTTTTGCCAGTTTCCCTTCTTATAGAAAGGACACCTATTTATATTCAGTGTGGCCGATGCTAACGTCCCTGGATGGCAGCCATATAAACCAGAGGAAATGGGGGGTGGGGAGAGCACATCAGATCTAGCCCTTCCATTTTCTCATGATTTCCTTTTATGGCATGGGGCTATTCCCTTTTACCCACCACTCATTTTTTTCACATTCCTCCAGCCATGAACAACACAATAAAAGGGCAAATGTTTGACTATGAAACTGATGGACTATATGTCCACACAAAATTTCTTATCCACCCACTGATCATTCTTGCAAAATAGCCAATGCCATCATTCAGGGCTGACTCTCAATTTTATAAATGACCAGGCACCTTCCATATATATATATATATATATATATATATATATATATATATATATATATATTTTTTTTTTTTTTTTATCTTGCTACCTGTTAGCCAAAGTCAATTTTCATTATTAAAAAAAAAAACACAACAACAATTTTTGCCCTAACCAGTTTGGCTCAGTGGATAGAGCATTGGCCTGTGGACTGAAATGTCCCAGGTTTGATACTGGTCAAGAGCATGTACCTTGGTTGCAGGCACATCACCAGTAGGAGGAGGTGTGCAGGAGGTGGCTAATCAATGTTTCTCTCTCATTGATGTTTCTAATTCTCTATCCCTCTCCCTTCCACTCTGTAAAAAAATCAATAAAATATATTTTAAATTTTTTTCATGTTAAAAAAAAATTAGAAATCAAAGACCAAACAGTCTACTTCAATTCTATTTTTATAACTCTAATGAAGACTTCATAAGTTTGAGGATTCATAAGTTTGAGGATTCATAAGTGAATTTTAACCATTTATGCTTTTCGGGGCTGTTTATCATTCTAGTTAATAAGCCACTGACAGTCTATCTCCAAGTCCCAAAGGAAGGACTAATTATTCAATTTCCAGCTCTACAGCAACATTTGGTTTCCTTCTTCTCCAGACCCCTTTCCTTCTTCACTGAAGAGCACAGACAACAAAACAAGGAAGTCCTTAATCCACAAAGAGTTAATCGTGCTATTAAACATAACAGGAAACCTTACCAGATCTCTCTTCCTGCCTCCTTCTAGCTAGCCTGGTCCCAGGCAGATAATGCTGCAGGAATGCTGACATGTCCGAAGCCTATATAAACAAACTGGGACATTCTTGAGGTCTTGCATCAATGGCAGAAAAGCTTGCCTAATCCCCACACTAGTAAAATAATCATGGGTTCAGAGACAAAGCACATCCTTTACCATACGGTTACATATCAATGCAAAAATGCGTATCCCACTTCCAATTTTTTGATGGACACAGGGCCTATCTGAACAACTATTTTAAACAGTAGTCATTTGGGCTCACATAGTGTCAACACTGCCTTCTGGGGTACAGAGTTCTAAATGCCACTGAAAGAGGTTATGCAACAGCTGTCAAGAAATTTCAGAAGAAAAAAAATTTGATATCTAGGTTAGGTTAATATCACACTTCCTCTCTTTTAAATCTCCTTGGAGACTACTATTTGACCCAAATGAGTCAGATAATTTCTTAAAGAGGCCTCCAGCTGCATCGATGAGGATCGGCACAGGACTAGCCACTTGCTGGTCGGAGCGGGTGAGTGCAAACTCACCATCTAGGGCAACGTCCCTGGTTAGAGGCGGGGCATAAGCGTAGGGGCAGGACTGAGGCACGACGCTGAGCTGGAATAGCACATGGCATCTTAGCAGCTGGATGCCGGAGGGCAGTCTCATTCATTCCTGCAGAAGGGGATCCTAAAAAGGTCCAGTTGCTGCCTTCCCAACGGAGTGCACACACTTTAACCCCAAGGAGAAACCGTGCGGGTTGGAGATGGAGACATGCCTTGCTCTGTCTGAGTGTGCACTGGGATTGCTTGGTGACCAGGAGCCCCAGCTCTCTCCTGGGCTCCCACAATGCACCTGTGCTCTTCATCGGGTCGCCAGGGTTTTCTCTTCATCCACTCCACTTGGCATTACCAACAGCCTTCAGGCAATAGCCTCGCCATCATTGCTTGGCACTGAGGCCGTAAGTTAAGAGCAACTGCTCAGCTGCAGGGGCTGAGCTCAGCTGTCCCTGACTCCTACACAATGTACAGATAGTCCATTTTGACCAGCAAAATAACATCTCTCACTACATCTAACACGTTCTCCTGTTATTACCGGACAATGTTTATTGAAGAACATTTAAATTGCTCTATAGATAAAAATAGAGCTCAGCTATATAAGGAATTAAATATTTCTTTATCACTATCATGGTGCTCATATAGATAAGGGAGAGTTAAAATCCAGGGTGGGCAAAAGTAGGTTTTTAGTTGTGAGTACACGAAATAGACTTAATTCTTATATCACTATTTATTAATTATTGTATTACTTTCCATATAAACAACTGTAAACCTACTTTTTTGCGCCCCCCCCCCCCCCATATCTATCTAGGCCAGTAGTCAGCAAACCGCAGCTCACAAGCCACATGCGGCTCTTTGGCTCCTTGAGTGTTCTAACGCTACTTCTTCAAAATAGACTCGCCCAGGCTGAAAACGACTTCTGTGCATGGGCCACGAAGTTTCAATCGCACTGTACGTGTGCACCCACACGTGTTATTTTGTGGAAGAGATACACTCAAGGGGCCAAAGAGCCACAGGTAGCTCGTGAGCTATGGTTTGCCAACCACTGATCTAGGCAATGCACATTTCTAGATAAGAAATAGTTCAAGTTCCTTTATACAAAACACATGTATACAACATACAAAACACATGTATATAACATACATAGTTTTGAATAAAAATCCAAACAGGAAAAACCTAATGAAGCTTCTGAGCTCTAAGTAAACATACCATCATTTGCTGACGTGGTGTTTTATTCCCATAATGCTGTCACTGCTCAAAAATGTCCCTGGAAGCCCCCCTCCTGAACGCATCTTTGGGCCTGAGACAGTTTTATTTTAACTTTCTCAAACTTCTTTTGAGATAAAATGTGATATTTAAAAGTCAGCCAGACACTAAGATTTTCCCAACAGATCTTTCATAAAAAATGTTTTCTTCACTTAGGGTTTTTAGGAGCAACCCAAGGCAGAAGTCACACAGGGAAAAGGGTTCTTCTTGCAGGTGATGGTGGAGGCATCTGGTTATCTAGACACACTTGGTGGCGGTTCTAGGGACCTAGCCCAGGGTCACCACTGGCTGGTGGCAGGGGTTTCCGCTAACTGTCCTGTGGGGCAGTTACATGTTTCTATTCCTTTAGATTGACTTTCCCGATGGGAAATCCCCCAAACCTGGTTCCATGGTCCTCCTGGAAAAATGCCACAAGCTATCTTATTCCTCCCAACACATTCCGTTTCCGCTTACACTAGCGGGAATCAATTACACAGGCTGTTTCTGACCTGAAGAAAATTGTCTCATCTTTTCGTCAATACAGTTGAACTAACTCTCATCATCAGTGAACAGTCAGCATTTGAATTTACCGGTCATGCCATTGCCTCATCCATTTATATCCCCACGAAATCCCAAGATATACCTGTCATCTTTATTTATCTGGTCTCCAAATCCCACGGTGTCCACGATGGTTAATTTCAGCCGGACGTTGCTTTCCTGGAGCTCGTAACTTCTGGCTTTTAACCGGACGCCTGGCTCATTGTGAGTAGCGGGGTCACTTTCAAACTTGGTGTTGAATAAAGTGTCCATTAACGTGGACTTGCCGATGCCCGTCTCACCTACGTGACCACAGGGGAGGGATCAGAGAGCGTGTCAGTTCCTCACAAGAGTGTTTCATGACCATGTCTGTACAACTTCTAAAAAAGTCACCATCGCCAGTATTCCCTCCACAACAAGACTGTTCTTTCCTGGTGAACTGTATCCAATACCTCCCTAGAAATGTCTTAGTAAGTTTTAGAAACGATTCAACAGAAAAAATCTTGGACTTACTGATCAAGATACTCTTCTTTAGCTCTAGAGAAACAACCTGTTTGTACATTACAAAGACGTATCTCTTCTCCTAATTGTTGTTGTGTAAAACTATTACCTAAAAGAAATTATACTGCTGAGTTTCTGTTACTAGAAAGAAAGACATACTCCTTTTATATTGAATTATCTGACACCAGGTACTGTTGCCATAAAGAATGACATTTTCCAGAACAACACTTTTGAGAATAACGGTAATAATCACACACCTGCTAAATGACGGAGGGCTGATTTTGTGCTAGGTGCTGTGGCAAGAGCTTCCAGTGCTTGAGCTAGTTTAGCCCTATCACAATCCTCCATGAAGCAAGCAGGTGCTCCCGTCCCCTCCGTTTCACAGACGGGGCAACGAAGGCTAAGATAGGGTGTAGGTAACTTGCCTGAAGTCACATTATTAAGTGGCAGAGCAGGGGTCTAGCCCGTCTGTGTGACGAACACCTACCCTGAGCCAACAGAGCCAATCTTGACTTTCCTATTACAGCAAAAGCTGTCTGCCTATTATTTCCCAACTATAGTTATGAGTTTGTGTCAGTCCTCTATATCAGAGGTTCTCAACCTTCCTAATGCCTCAACCCTTTAACACAGTTCCTCATGGTGTGGTGACCCCCAATCACAAAAATATTGTTGTTGCTACTTAACTGTAATTTTGCTACTGTGATGAATTGTAATGTGAATATCTGTTTTCCGGTGGTCTTAGGTGACCCTGCTAGCAGTTCTCAACCTGTGTGTCTCTCGACCCATCGGAAAACACAGGTATTTACATTATGATTCATAACAGGAGCAACAAAAATAATGTTGTAGTTGGGAGTCATCACAACATGATGAACTGTATTAAAGGGTCGCGGCATTAGGAAGGCTGAGAACCACTGCTCTATATGATCCTCATTGTCTTTTCCTATTCAGCTGGAGTCCAGATGGTAAACATTTAGTAGATAGCTCTCCCAACTTCAGAGTGATGTTAAATGACCTCCAACAGTGGCCTTATTAATTGACCTCCAACAGTGGCCTTATTAATTCACACGGATAATTAAGTGTTTACCGAGAGCCTAATATGTGCAGAGCAGAGTGGCAGGTGCCTGGTACCACTCTACCAATCAAATGGCGAGACTCAAATGAGGAGCTACAAAGAGCTTTAGCCTGACCTTCTTCATAAAGCCAAGCAAAATCCTCCTTCATTCTAATTCTAATTCCCAAATTAATTCTGAATCAAAAATAGTTGGCAAGGAGAAAGAACCCACCCCACCCTTGTCACTGGTGCTGGTGTTAGTGATTATGTGATGGCGGGAAAAGGGAAGTAGAAATCAAAGAATATTATCCATTGGAAAGACTTTTTATTTTGAATTTGGAAAATCTCCCTGTTAGATTTCCAATTCAATCTGAGCATGCTAATATGCGGCAACCCTCCCAGCAAATCCTAGAAACAGTTCCTCTTCTCAAGGGTCTCGATAATGCCGGTTAGGATGGTGACCATTGCACAGGGAAAGAAGAACTCTGGGATTTACAGTCCTGAGGCAAGTCTCCCACTGTAATGGCAAAACCCACTTAACAACTGTAAACTCCATATTACTCACTGTTTTCCAACATAATGCAAAAGTGAAGTGGATGGAGTTTTTCTGGATCTGAGCTTTCTCTAGTTAGCAGCCTTGTGTGGCTTGCCATTGACTGCAATGATTCACTTAGAGGATGAGTCGGTCAAGTTTGTTTGCCTTACTTTTAACCTTGCCCATTGGGGCCCCGGATATACAAAAGATCAAAGCATTTCCTCTCCTTTCAGCCTTCATTCAGCCAGTATTTTTCCATTGCTTACTCCGTACCAAGCACTGTGTCACATTCTGGGACTACAAGGAACTAGCCTGCAGTGGTATTCTCCCACACCATAGAATCTGACCTGGAACATGACTGAATGAATACCAATCAGACTCTAATTTATTATGGTGGGGATAATATTCTAAGCGTCTGCCTTAACCACGTTCCTCTTCTGAGCAAGATGATACTTTAGCTGAAACCAGTTTGGCTCAGTGGTAGAACGTCGGTCTGTGGACTGAAAGGTCCCGGGTTCGATTCCGGTCAGGGGCATGTACCTTGGTTGCAGGCACATACCCGGTAGGGGGTGTGCAAGAGGCAGCCGGTCGATGTTTCTCTCTCATCGACGTTTCTAGCTCTCTATCTTTCTCCCTTCCTCTCTGTAAAAAAAACAATAAAAATATATTAAAAAAAAAAAAAAAAAAGACTTTATACCTAGTGACCACAGGGAAGTAAACCAGGGCTGGCGTCCTGAACAGAGGCACCTATGGAAGCCTAACCATGATGCTCTGAAACAGTGCCCCATCCTGGGCAGCGACCTGTCTGTCCAATCAGAACTTCCCCCCTTGGCAGTCTGAGTGAGAGATACACAATCTGCACACATGGCAAAGGCATAAGAAAAGATACACAGAGCAGTGAGTAAGCAGAAGCCACGAGGCAGCAAAGGCTTCTGGTAAATGGAAGATGCTGACAGGCCATTAGCTGGGAATATAGGAGAAAGAGAGCAAATAGACACAAATAGAGCTAAGTGTCTGAAATTCAATCTATACTAAGAAAAGGGTAATATGCTAATTAGGGTGGATGCCTTCCAGATGTGCATCCTGACAAAGCCACAGCCGCTACAAGGCCCGGGGCTCAGGCAGCTGCCGAGGCTGGCAGTGGCAGCAGCAGCAGCAGCAGCAGCGGGGTGATGGAGATGGTGCCTTCCTCTGATCAGCCCAGTTGCCTCCTGGAAAAGGAAGCTGTCAGTAGGACATCCCCTGAGGGCTCCTGGACTGTGAGAGGGGGCAGGCCAGGTTAAGCCCCCCACCCCCACCCCACCCCCAGTGCACGAATTTTCCGTGCACCGGACTTCTAGTCATTAATAATACTTGAGCATTTTATGTGACAAGCAAAGGTGCTGGGCATAAAATGGTGAATAAAAAGAGACAGCAGACACTGAGTGAACTTCTGTAACGTCCTGGGTATCATTCCAGATCTCCGTGAATTCTGTCTGTGTAGCAGTTGAGACGTTTTCCTGTCTTCCTTACCTTCCTGAATATTCTTACCAGAAGGCCTGTAGTGAGGGTAATCTAAACTAGTCTGTGCTCCCTAACATGACAGAGCTCAACAAACTCATACCCATGATTCGTGGCTTAACAAAATAACTTTGAGCAAAACAAAGTTACTGTATAATACATACAGAAAGAAAACAGGGATCTCACACTTTTTTAAATATATATATATATTTTTATTGATTTTAGAGAGGAAGGGAGAGGAAGAGAGAGATAGAAACATCAATGATGAGAGAGAATCATTGATCTGCCACCTCCTGGGGATGGAGCCCACAACCCAGGCATGTGTCCTTGACCAGAATCAATCCTGGGACCCTTCAGTCCGCAGGCTGACACTCTATCCACTGAGCCAAACGAGCTAGGGCAGGGATCTCCCTCTTAGGGTACTTAGAATCAGGTAGGCAACCCAATACTGTAGGTACTCCAGTCATTTTATGTCCTGTCACACATGTAACTTTTTCAAGTGCAGCAAACTTCTTTTCACGATTTACTTATTTTCAGGCCATGGACAAAGGGACGATAGCAGAACTACCTTATAAGGTAAAGGTTCTGTCTGTAGAAAGTGATCCATTCAACTTTCATCTCTTTCCCTAAGGACAGCAATAAAGCCTTCCATTTCCATGGTAGGGACTCTCGGTTACCATTGCATGACTGAAATTATCATCTCATTGACTTGGCTGAGAATTAGCTAAAGCTCTCGTCAATCAGGAACACTATGTGCTTTGCGTTTTTTTTTTTTTTTAAGGTAATTTTAATTATCATTTACATTAGGGAGGAAATTATGAACAATTAGCATTCCAGGCCCTACTTACAGCTCAGGGTTAATCAGTGGGTTGGGAAAACCACTGTTCCTTTAAATTTCAGAGGGCTTTACTTTCCATTTCTAGGCCCTTGCTTTTAAGAGCTGTAATTAGATACAGCTACTCCAGAAGCAGTGTGATTCACCAAAAGCAGTTCAGTAAGAAGTGACAGCTTTTGGGATAAAAGTAATTCTAGAACCAGGAGAGCTTTTCGTGCATTAGTTTTTGAGGCCTCTCTCTGGCCTCCGAAAGAAGGACATTTTCTCTACTTTTGAGAAGAATATTTCTGTTCATTCTGAGTAACAGAAAGCCTACCATGCATAAGTTCCAATCCAAACTAAACAGCGGTGACACTATTTTAAGAAAATTAATGACTGACACCAACCAACTTTGAAGTATTTCCAAACTCCTTAGCAGAATACCTGGCCTTTATTAAAAGGTAATTGGGAAAAAAAAATAATCTGGATGATCTTTTTTTTTTTTTTTTTTTTTTTAATTGATTTTGTACAGAGAGGAAGGGAGAGAGATAGAGAGTTAGAAACATCGATGAGAGAGAGTCATCGGTCAGCTGCCTCTTGCACACCCCCTACCGGGGATATGCCCGCAACCAAGGTACATGCCCTGGACCGGAATCGAACCCGGGACCCTTCAGTCTCCAAGCCGATGCTCTATCCATTGAGCCAAACCGGTCTCGGCTGGATGATCTTTTATGCTGAGATTTGCAACTTGGATAGATTTTTCCAAGTTTGTTGTTTTGTGTTTGTGTGTGTGTCTGTGTGTGTGTGTGTGTACATGTATGTTTTTTCTGTTGTAAATTCATCTACCTAAATGCTTAGTTGTTAGAATAATTAGAGATTTACTTTTGTAGCGCCCCTTGTT